TTGCTGATTCAGGCCACCAACATCAACATCCAATGGAAAATCATGTCCTGGTTCAAGTCACCCAGTTCTAGTGTTTGTGGACGCGCACCACTTATGATTTGCAGGCTCGGGTCGCCCATGTGTGTCGTAAAATGCATCTAATTTCTTGCGTTTTGCTGGTTCAGGTTATGTGCCTTCTTGTATTTTGGCTTAGCTAAGTTCAATCAACTTCTCTACCTTTCTGCAGTTGAAAAAGTATTGTTCATGCGACAGGGTCACTTTAGAACACACTTGCAGGAATCACTTTAGAACACCTATTGAAGGATCACCTTAGAACACAAGGCAAATTCTCCGTGAACCAGCAGCCTTTCTAACCGCTTGGGTGGGGTGGGGCGGAAGGTGGCAACAGGTTGTTCAGAAGAGGGCCGGAGCTCAACCAGCCAATCTCATGAGGGCAGCAATTTTTGGGCAACCAATCTAATGGAGGGGAGCGAAGGGAGAAGGAAGAAGAGGGGGAGGGTGTTTTTTTTGGTGTGGGCTCTCGAGCTGTAGTAGCACACTCCCTCTACACAGGTGCAGTTGTAAGCATTCCGCTGTTTCAAGGTTTGTAATCTATATATGTGTGTTGAGCAATGGCAGCCATACATGGCCAAACATCAAATACTGTATTTTTTGTGAAACATAAAAACGCGAAAAAACAAAATGCAAGACAAAAGCAACTGAAAATGCAAAAGCAACGCCATTTGCTTTGTTGTTTTGTTTTGTTTTTTTCCTGGTACCACTTCTGCACCTATGAGAACTTTTACCCGTCAGCAAGTTTCGCTGTACGCTCCTGGGGAAAAAGCGTAAAAAAAACAAAACAAAATGCGAAAATAAAGCGGGTAAAAAGAACGAACAAGTGAAAATAAAGCAAAAAAAAACGCGACAAACACGCAAAGCTACATGTGATTGTTTTTTGCTTTAAGAATGCTGGCGTGCCCTACTCGACTATATATATATATGTATGCATAATGCTGCAACTGCAACATCAACCGCACCTGAACGCAAATAACGCCAACACTGTCAGACTGCTGGCAGCTGTGGATGCCCCAGCCTGGAACAGCAGGCTGGAATGAGACTCTGAGGGTTGGGTTGACTGACTGGCGTAGTCCTGCGCCTGCCTGGAAAAGGACATTGGATTAAGGCTGTTTCAACTCCAGAACAATCCACTTGGCTCATCCAAATTGGCCCACCTGCGGAAGAGCGCAGGAACGATGCAAAGAATGCGGAATCATCCAGTGTGTCTACATCTTGCAATTCGGAACAAGTGCATCGCTTCTAGTAACAAGTGCCTTACTAGTAGTAACAAGAAGCTAGTAGAAACAATAAGCTGTTAAGGCATGGCTGAGCAAAAGAATGTCCCGCCTTCGAAGCCAAGGCTAACCCATCCACCATACCATCCAAGCTGTCTGCACACAACAGCTGCATCCACTTGGCCAAAACCCTAAGGAGCATGAAGTTTGGAAATTGTGAATGGGCAATTCCAAAAACTAGACAGCCGGCAGGCAAGATTGATTCCACCAGTTGTTCCTTCAATGCTTCAACCAAGCATCATCTTTGCAAACAGTTCCCCACTGTCCGTTGTGAAAGATTTCCAGTCGCCCTTGTAGCGGACCTGCGCCGTCTTCCAGCCGCACGGAACCCTCCTCCACCTGCCAGTGAAACGTTAAACACAAAAAGCTTGCCTAACCAAACTCAATCGATTGAAGCTGAAGGAAGCGTGCGGGAAGGGAAAGCACCGAACTGGGAACATAAAACACCCAACCCCCCTTCAAACTCAATGTTGAGGCCAAAGACTATTCTCACGAGAATGCATCTCTGTCATTCTGCCCGCCAGCTCCGCTGTGTCAAATCTTGTGGTCGTATTTGGCAAGAAACTTCTATGTGGAACATCTGCTGGCGTACATGAGTTTCTCATCTCCAAAGCGGTAGGAAAAAAAGGGGGCGTTCCTCGCATCGGTCGCACAGGGTCTTTCAGGGGTCTTTCAGAGTAGATGCCATGCGGTCCCCGGAATTCAGGTGGTTTATATGGACATCTAAAAGACATGGCCATCTGCAGAGCTTTTGGAGCCAAAGGCACGGGAGGCACGGTCGTCGCGGGAGGCACCGTCGTCACGATCCGATCGGCCAGTGTTGACCGCCTGGGAATTGGGGTGCGAGATCGTAACGGATTGGAAGTGTTGACAGGAAGCAAACGGATGACGGTTAGCAATGAAACGGTGCACAGATGTGTTGACCAATCATCTCGGAGTACCGCCATGAAACGGAGATGAAACGAACCATGGCACCATAGCACTATGGCTGAGCCACGAATGGTCTGACATTCGTGTTTTCTCAGAGTACCGCCAGGCAGCTGAATCAAAGCACCGTCATCAAAGGAACAGTTCGGATCGGTCCCTCCTCTGGCGCACGAGACTGAATGAAGTGATCATGAAAATTGGAGAATTATACGACTGGTTAGTGGCTTCAACTCACTTGAAATGTATTCATCAGTGGTGCAAAATCATCCCAAGATCAGGTGAAAAGTAAAAATATCCAAAACCACCACCTAGTTAACCATGCAGCTCCTCCAAGCTTTTCACATCTGAGAATGCTGAGCAAAGAGAAAACATCAGTGCAGGCCGGATGTCCTGTTGACAGCAAGATGTGTATAGCAAGGATCTTCACCTTGGGATGTGCATGCTGAGGTCCCCACCATCAAAAAATAGAAACGGAGAGGACACATCTTTTACTCCAAAATTCGGGCAAAAACCACAAGCCAAAACAACAAGCAAACAGGTCTGCGTCTGAGGAGTTGTGATGTTGTGATGTTGTGAAGTATGGGAACCACGCTCGAGACCCTGAGACCCGTGTGAGACGAACTCTGAATAGAACACCACACTAAGTGAAGCCTTCAACCAACAGATACTTGCACATATGGTCAGCAACAGAGTAACCTAGGACATGCTAAACTGTTTTTCATTGCTTTTCAATGCTCTCAGGGCAAGACATAAAAGCTTAAAGCCACCAAAGGTTCAATTTGTTTCGTTGGCACTTGGGACTCAAGGTCACCTCTCCTAGGCTGACCTCTTGCAAACGAAGGGCCAGCTTCATGCATCCGGTGCAGAATCTTTCCCGAGAGGCTGCGTCTTTGAGATCTTGGGAGGCTGCGTTTGGAAGCACGCAAGAAAGATGTCAATATCCAAACATCATGGTGTTTTGTAGGCCCACAAAACAACATATGTTACAGTTCGCGTGGAGGCCCATTGCTCTTAATAGTCCTGTTGTCCTGTTGTGCGGACAACGATCGAAAACACGGGTGTTTTTTAGCGTCAAAGGACATGGCAGCGATGGTCAACCACCGGTTTGCAGCGATCCTTTTTCTGCCGGATTTCGTGGTCATCACCGCCAGAGGCTTGACCAGGGCCACAGTAGACCAGAGCGGCATTTGATGGCACTGTTCAGATCCAAATGTTTGATGGTTCACTGTCATATATGACTATATCAAACCCCGTTGTCCAGAAGGAGGAAGCGAGGCCGAGAAAAACACATCCAACAATCAAGGCGCCACCGAATACACACACGCAAAACCAACAGCCAGCAGCTCTAGCTCCACAGCTATATCATGAAGATTATGCCAACGGAAATGACCCACCATATCCATCCATATCCGACATATAGGCATGACCCAAGGGAGTTGAACCAAGAAAGGGGCAAGGGTGAACCCAAACCAAGGGAGGGCCCTGCGCGGCTTGGACAGTTTTGTTCTATGTGACCTCAACGTATGATTTTGAAGATGTCAAACATTAAAGAACCGTGCGGTTCGCAGGGTTCGTGGGAGAGCTACTACGAAGCGAACGATGCAGATGAGATCGTAGCGAGAAATATGTTTTGTTACTCTATCCAGGGAAGTGAGAGTGCAGGCCCATCATGAACCCGCGTCCCTTTTGGGATCAGTTCTGCACCCCCGGACTGCCGCAAACAAGGTGAACAAACCCAGGCCAAGTCCAGTCAGGCCAAGTGGAAAACCTGGTCTGACTGACCTCATGTTACATGTTTCGTACTGGCTTGGCATTTTCCCGGATCCAGTCCAATGAGGTCCGTAAGACCTACAGGGAAAGGTTAAAAAATCACACAAAAATCCTGACTCCTTCACCCCACCCCATCCTCTCCTGCGCGTTCAGATATAAGAGCCTCCGTTCGAGATGCTTTGGGAGGCCACACCCACTTCCCCCACTTCGCCGCGCCCGATGTTGCGCAGGTCGCCTTTGAGCCGGAAGATGGGGACACGCTCCACGTAGGGGTTCCAAACCTCAGGAATCGGTTCGCGTCGTTCACCGTCGTGCGAGAAGCAGTTCCCAAGAACCGGTTCCCGGTTTGGAGCAGATCGAGGTGGGACACCGAGCTGGCTCGGCGCTTCGTTCGCATTCTTCGAAATCTCTTCCGAGCAGTCGGTCCTCATCGAACGGTCCATTCTTACTCTCTTGCAGTCAGGAGTAGCACTCTCTACTCCAGTCGTTCGTCAGGTGCAGCATGTCTTCATGTCTCTATGGGGTGGTCTTCGCCCACTTCCATCGAAAACAACCAGTTCCTTCCGCGACAGGTCGTGGCCACCGTGCCCCGAATGCGCATGCCGAGCCCTGCCGCGTGGGCGGCCCCCCTCCAGAAAAAAGAACACGTGCAGAGATGTCTCGTGTTTTGACCACAGAGTTGTATCTTTGGGTATTGACACCGGCACAAGGTGATCGATCACTCAATCACCTCGAACGCTGATGTCAGCCTGATGTCAGCTCGAACAGTTGACTTCCACTGGCGAGTTTCTATGCTCTCTGTCAAGAGAGCACACCGCCTGGGAGGCAACTTGTGACCTCAAGAAAGGCCCCACAGCTTTTGCGTGTGGCTATACAGGTCTAGAAGCTTTGGGTTCTGAAAAGTGTCACCATGTCAACTCTGGGACGTCAGGAAAGACATGGCAGACACGAGAAAAGACACATAGATTCTTGGTCGCTAAGACCTCATGCCAACCCGAAGATTCTAGTATAGATCAATGCAGATCTCTACAGTTGCCAAACCTCTTTGCTTCGGCTGACAACAGGGCCAGTCCCTGCAAGATGCTTGTGCACTTGCGCACTTGCCACTAGCCCTTTTCCTATGCCCTTGGCTTCCCGATGAAAAAAGGTCGGGATCACTTGAGCACGTCAACTTAGGGGCATCATGGCCAGCGTGCAGAAAATCAGCTCCGCAAACATCCAAATCTGACCGAGTGACCGAGATCTATTCGTTCAACAAGGCAGGACTTGCCCATTTTGTTTCTGGACAGGTCTGTCCCATGCAGGTAGGAAGATTGAGTCTTCCTACTTTGAATTATTCGGAATAAATGTGGAAAACCAGAACCAAACGAGCGTGCAGCTCACCCCGTCAATGCCTCTCCGCTCCGGGATCCAAAAGTTTCCCATGTTGGGGCTCCGAGGCATTGACCAACCTCGGAACAAGGACGGACCGGTCATCCCGGCCGGCGCGCAACAGGGGGCGCTCCGCCGAACATGGGGTTTGACCGGTCTGTCCACTCCCAAATCCCCCCTCAATGATCCTCAAGGTCCAAATGCTAGCTTTCTGCGCCCAGATGTTGGGGGCCTCCATCAGCTTGGCGTCAAGTCTTACCGCCCTTCCCAACCCGAGTGCTTCCCAAACTCCTTCGTCCTTGACCTTCCATTCCCCCGCCCAAGCCCCGCGGACCGGTCGGGGAACGGGTTCAATGTGGCGGACCGAACCCCAACCGAGGGAAGCAGAAGGTCTTCCATCCGAGACGGAGACGCCCGGGCGACCGGACGAGCGGGGAGTTCGGAGCAGCGTTATTGGACCGCGGTCCAGAGAGGTGCGAAGAGGGAGAAGGCCCGAGGATTCGGTTTGCATCCCATTAGACCACCCAGACCACAGGTGGTCCGCAAGTGGTGTGTCGCCAGTGGTGGCCCGCCGTTTCTTTCTGGCCCCTGGAAGACGAGGTTTCATCTGTACAAATAGGTGGTGCTGAACTCCACGTAACCATGATCATTTGTTCGAAGACCCAAAAATTGACCATCCTTGAGACACCCTGCAAACAAAACAAAACCCCAATGGGCTGACACCGGCTCAACCCAAAACTGTACGGCCTTGCGTATCAGTGCATGTCTTAAAACGGCCCAACGGCGAACGCCTGGATGAGAGATTTCGTTTGAGCGACCAATCTGAAAGCTTAAGAAGTCCAGACACCACCCTGGGCCCTCGGGTTCCGTGGGGGGGTGTCTCTCACCACTCCCCGGTTTCCACCGCGTCGGTGGTGTCCGAGGGCGAGTCCCGCGGAGCTTCCGGGCGTGACCCAGCTGGAGAGGTCAGTTCGGCGTCACCCTGATACCCCAAAAACACACCAGCCGGCATAAAGCCTGCATAATTGGAAGATGAGGGTATGTTGTATCCATTGCTCTGGAACCGAAAAACTCCCCATTCCCCCCCAAAAGGGTGGTCTTTCCTGAGCTGCCGTGCTGGCTGACTTAAGGCTCAAGGCGAAAATCACGCAGCTCCTGACGTCCACGGAACCCCGAAATGCATCAGAGACTGAAAGGAAGATCCTGGGATTCCTGGGCCACCATTGAATATACAGTAATAGCCATAGCCGGAATCCCCCAACGAAAAAAAACTCTTGATCTTGTATTACTATGGATTCTAGGCTACAAAAACCCAGGACGGGCAACCGGTCAACCTGACTCTTCCTATGGTCCAACAGGCCTGGCGATCGCGGAACTTTAGGCGTTCTTTTGGGATGCTGCAGTCAGGACATGGTGGGGGAAACAAGAGTGTGGGTGAAGGGGGGGTAGGTAGCGTCCTTGCTACGTTCGATGACCTCCCCCGTTCGTAGCGTCCTTGTTCCGCCAGAACGGACTCACGAGGTCATCAGCCGGGCCACTTGGCCGGGGCCACTTAAGGACAATGGCTCAAATAAGCTGGTTTCTGAAAGGCATGAAAGCCAGGAAGGCGTACTGAAATGGTCAACAATTGCCATCAATGACCTACTGGAAGAACAGGTTTCCGCACGTCGATGTGTCTGAACACTTGCCAAATTCAGGCTTGTCCAAACCGACAAAACAGGCATCACCGTAGGAGCTGCAGTGCGGTGCGGTGTCTTCTTCCCCATTCGAAGAAGAGGGGATTGATCCGCAAACCCGCGCCTTACAGCACAATCATGCGCTGGAGTGCGTAGACACCTGGGGCCAAAGAGGCTGGCTTTTCGATGCTCTTCTGACCCAATTTGGTATATGTTGTTGGCTTCGGTCGATCAGAGTCCGAAGGTATGTGTGCAGCAAAACCTGGATACCGTTCGAAAAGGCTTTCCCTAGAAGACAGTCGAACCAAGATGTTTTTAATGGCCTAGAGACCGGAACAACCATTGCTTTACTAAGGATTTTACTATCATGTAGACTCTTGATTAAGAGTCTCCCCCTTTGAAGAAAATGTTCAATTCAATTCGTGGGGTGGTGTAGTAATCAAGAGTCTACATCATACCAAGATCAATCATTTCAATGACCTGGTCCTTTCCGGACGGATTGGAAACGTCGCTCCTATCCTTCCGTTGTGGGGTGTGTGAGGACGGCCGTCTCGACACCCGTCCGGGAAAACGCCGGTGGACACCGGTGAAGGAGCCCCGGACGCCGGGTGCGGTCAGGTGCGGACGTTCGGAAGGGTCCGAAGGCTTCACGGAGCCCATGGGCGTCCACTGCCAGCCGCCTGGCGGCTCCGTTTCCTTCGGCTGGGATTCGGCGGCTGGTTTCATGTTGGATTCCGTTTCGTCTCGAAGCGAAAGGAAGCATTCCAACCCCTCATAGGACGTTTAGTAGTTGGATCAGTCCATCGCCTCTCCATCCGGTCCGTGCACTCGGGGGAGAGAAGAAGAAGCGTACGAACTCCACTCCCGCCGCGAACCGCGGATGCGAGGGGGATGCGTTGGGCGGGCCTCCAAGCTAGTAGCGACCTAATTGATGATGGATGCCGAGCCTACCGGCCCTCTCCCATCTCAATTTCTATCCAAGACGCCCATGCCCGCGGCGAAGCCCAAGGCAGCCCACGGAGAGATTCGGCGCATGTACCAGAGGAAACCTGAGTGCTTTTTGGCCGGTGCTCCTGAAACACAGTCTGATTTCAGTGACCAGCAGGCATCGATCTATTTGGTTTGGTTTGAACATGCCAGGGGTGGTCAATGATTTTTGTGGTTTAGCACCAATGGTACCATGTTCCTATTTAAGATCCTTTAAGTAAGGATGCCATCCATGACAACACTCTGCACACGTCCAGCCCTCGGGATGTTAGGCTTTGGTTTTGTCCCCAAAAGGTCAGACGAAGATGCCGAAAATCCTCAACGAAGGAGCAAGGACGCTACGAACGGGGCTCCTGGCCTTACTACTAGTAACAAGGAAGCTATGAACGGGGCTCCTGGCATCGCTACGAACGGAGCAAGGACCCAGCACAAGCCAGGTTGTGTCGCAATGGATCCAAAAAAATCCTGGAACTCCTCCATAGACCACGCAGTTTTCACTGGATCAGAGTGTCCAAAGAAAAAAAAAGAAAAAAACGATCAATATCGACCAAGGCACTGTGGGCATAAAAAGACCAACAACCAACAGAGGTTGAAGAACCCTATAGGTTGGGTATATCTCATTGCCAGTAACATGATGCGGGTGAGTAAAGGCCTTCCTTCAAAATAGCGATAATCATTTACCAACTGTTACTGGTACCCTACCTATAGGCTATCCCAGTCGGGTGCTCCAGGTGACGGGTCTTATTTACGGTCACTTAACCTCTGTTGGAAGTAGGACCCCCTCCAACCCCCCAATACCAGGGGCCTCACAAACCATCAAAAAACGGGTTTTCCGCAAAAAGCATGGCTTTTGTATGTGAAAACCCTTCTTTTCTCATGGTTTGGTTCCCCTGGTATGATGTAACATGTCGGATTGGGCCTGGCCTGGCGTCCAAAGAGCCCAACTCCCCCAAAACCCGAGGCGAAACGCCCAACGAGTTGGGCCCGTCGTGCACGGTCCTCTTCCAGAAGCACCGGCCGGCGGGCGTGGTACGGAGAACCCCCGGAACAGCGTGGTTCGGGGACCAGCTCGGAGAGGGGAGGAGGTGCGGGACAGCTCGCGGCACCGTGGGGTGCCCCGTGGGGCGAGAACAGCGCTAGCACCGCAGAGTTCAGTGATCCAGTCAGTGGAGAAGTCAGAACTGGAGCATTTCAGTCATCTGGAAGAAAAGAATGATCCCATGTCCAGTTTGCACATGTCTAGGCCACTTGAAGACCATCATCCCCATCCCGTTGGCCAGAAGACCCACATGCTCCAGGCCCATCAACGTCACACCTGCCAGGTTTCGTCACGTGTGACGGCGCACCGGCACATCTGCGGCTGCCGCGCCGCGGGTGGAGCACGGTGTCAGGTAGTTGGAACCAGGTAGTTATATACCCTAGAGCTCCAAGTACTGAGAAGGTATTTGGACTCCTGGCATCCACCCCAGTCCCACCTTCGAATACTTGCAGCCCTAGGGATATATAACTGGAAACAAAAAGACAGGAATTCCGCAACCTATACCAAGTGGTATAGGACAAAATCTTCGCAGTTGTCAATCTGTTCCCTGGTGTCGACAAATGGTTTGAACGAACAATACTAAACAGCAAAACCGTTCACGGACTAGTTGTCCTCATCTAGTTGTCCTCCCACGGTTGACGGGTCAATGGGTGTGCTGCAAGGTCCAGGTTTCCCATGGTTTCCCGTTGGTTGCCTAACCACCTGACTGACTGTCGTGCCGGTTCCGTCCCGCTCGGGGCCAGGGAGATACGTCGTACAGGTCGGTTTCGCTCAGTAGGGTCGATCTTCGCTGTATACCAGACCCCGATGGGCAACTAGGTTTGGCGAACCAACTGCGATCTCCAAAAAGAATCCAACAAATGGTTCTGTTCATACATCTAAAAGGGTGAAATGTGTGGTTGCGACAGCAGGAGAGCAAAAAGCATGACGAACAAAACCGGCCAGTGCCCAACCATGTGTAGCATTTTTGCGTGCCAAACACCCGCCTGCCACACTGCCAACCGCCAGCATGGAACCACCTGCCCAGCCAAGCTGAATGCAGGCAGACATCCGAGAACACTGACATAGTGACTGGCTTCAAAGTACGGCACTCTAAGGGGTCTCTTTTGGAGACATCGGGTGGCACCTACAACCTCACACATCACTTAGTCATGGTGACATGGACCCCGCATCTGGGCCGGAATATGTATAAAGTATGTGGATTTGGATTTGGATTGCCTTGAGCCACGAGCCAAAGTATTTGGTGACGATGTGAACTCACATGTTCCGCACGATTTTGTTGTGGAACTGGCTTCGAAAAGTCATTGAGTCAAGACTCACGGCCCTAAGCAGCGACTGAAAAGCAGAAGTTTTTCCGAGTTCAACAATGCAATAAGCCCTGGCTTTGTGGAATCATTGCAAGGGCTGCAACGAAATCGGTTGATCTGTTGCCCACAGTTAGATGGATAAGATGATGAAGCTCGTGTGCAGCCTTACTGCGTGCCCCGATGCTGGGAGGCCGCCTGGCGCTAACAGTTTTACTGTCGATAGAAGGCCACTCGCTTGTGGAACACCGCTACACGGAGGATACAACGCAGCTGGGGCTTGGCGTGTCAAGGCCGGCACAATTGCGCGCCAGTGTCGCTGTGTATCCAACCATAGCTTCGCAGCACACCAGCCAATTGTGGCTTCATTGCATGATCTTCAACAGCATTCTCACTTCCCACTGGCTTCTATTTCCTGAACCAAAGGTGGCGGCCAGGCAGTTCTTGCAGTCGAAGTGGACTTCGACCGGATGCTGCAGCGCCTGACATGTGAGACACTGCAAGACACCCATCAGATCGTGTTGTTTCGCCAAAAAAGGCGAAATGGCGAAAAGCTTTGCGTCGCTCCTGGCTCGAAGTGCCGTCTCCTCTGAACCTGATATCGTAGCACACCTAAAGAGGCACCCAGTTCCCCACAGATGCGTCCCCCCAGTTTTGCCAGCTTGAGGACCAAAACGACCGCTAGTTCATATACCGCCCCCCTGGTATGCAGGTCCAGTATGCTCATGGCTGGATGCAAACGCTTCAAGAATCTGAAGAGGGGATCTCTCGGAATTCGAATATATAAATCAAATGCAAAAAAGATAAACAAACAGCTGTCCTTGATCAGAACTCAACAGAATCCAGAGAAAATCCGGTCTCGACATCCATCTCTCCGTGTGGCTTCCTTCCCACCTCCAACTCTCCTTCCAGCTCCCATCGGTCCCTCTAGCTCCCCGTAGCCCGCCGCACACGCCACGCCGCGCCTGTGCCGGCGGAGAGTGCGACCAGCTGCCACAGGGGGTCGTCCATCGGCTGATGGAACATCTCAATGGAGGCCTCACACAGCACATGGAGCGAAGCGTGCGCGAAGCGTGCGCGAAGTTTGCGCGCGCGTGTCTTGAGTGTGTGTTGGGGCGTGTTAGGGGCATGTTGGGGTGTTCAAAACCATCGAAATGGCACATGCCAAGAAGGAAAGACCCTAGAATTGCTGGTGTTCGTGCCCAAAGAATGGTCTGTAGAAGCATGAAGAACGTAGGTATTTCAAAGATTAAAGAAAAAACAACATAGAAAAACACTACCCACGACGACCATCATCATCACCATGGACATCCTCTTCCAGGCTAACACTAGAGGCACTGAGCGGTTGCGAGTGGTTCTCACTGGGCCTGGTTCGAGGATCACCACTTCCCTGAATGTAGACCGTTGATGAATAAAACACCCCATATGGCCATATGAAGAGGCTTTTCAACTGTTGTCTTCCTGGCCTAGTCTACACGGCCTAGTGGATCCTCTCCTACCCTCTCCCATCCTCTCCCCTCCGCCGCACCTGGACCAACGGCACGTTGTCCACCACCGCAGAGGAGATGCCCAACATCGCCGAGAGCGCCAACGGCGACCCGCCCGTGGCTTCCTCGGTCGACCACCCCGGACAAAGTCAGTTTTTGTACCTGGTTTGGCGGTGGGTGGTGGGTGGTGTGGGCGCTTGGCTGGTGGAGTCTTCCAATCATATTCAAATCCCCAAGAGAGCTTCCATGCCGTTGTCTTCAGTTGGTGCAAATCCCGCCGCATCCACCATCCACCCATGCATCACGCCAAGAAGCGTTCATGAACTCCGAGTAGCGCGAAAGAACCTGCTGACGAAGCCGGGGGGGTTCATCCAGATCAGCCTTCTCGAATTGCATGATTTCACTGAAAACTGTGACTGCAGCAGTTGAAGCCGGAGAAGCTGGACGGGTAGCTTGCTGGATCTAGCGCGTTTCTTGCTGGCCGACAACCCAAACATCAGTTGCACAAGGCACAAGATTTTGGGGTGGAGGAAAGGTCTAAACCTCCCCAAAGGTCTGCTGCCTTCACTTGAGGCCGAGGGTAGGTGACGAAAGCTAGCAGGGCGGGGATGAAGCGGGGGAAATCCGACCGAGAAAGGTAAGAAGACATAAGCATGCAGGGGGTGCTGCCCGGAAGAGTCAGCCTGCCAGCGGAAATACACGTCCCCCCCTAATACACACGTCGATGCGGCACTCTCGAGGATTCAAGCCCCTCACTTGCTAAAGCAAGAACCACTCCAGCTAGCTGGTGCTAGCTTTCGTGATGTGCCAAAATGTGCCAAAAGCCGCCGAGGGGCGGGGGGGCACTTCTTCTGGGATAAAACGGATTGCCTAAGATACCTAACCCGGTTGGCTCCCTGATCATGTGGCCGAACTGCTTCTCAACAGCACCGACCCTCCACCCATCATGGTGACGTGGCACCAGACTCGGATCACCCGTTCGGGTCTATCAAAACCGGTTCGTCAAACTCCACGAATCGTGAGTTGAAGGGCGGAGGCGGAGGGGAGTTAAATTTGCCCTTCTCAATTCCTTCTCAAGTGGAGTGGAGTGGAACGTCAGGTGCAGAGTCCGGCCTCGGCAGATTCCAGCGCCGCGACGGAGAGCAGGACCCCCGTGAAGAAGAGGAGGCTGCTCAAATCCACCTGAAGAGGCAGCTGGGATGTGTTCCTTGGATGAAAAAGCCACCACTAATTTCATACCTGGACCCTCCTGGACCTGGGTGTCCTGGCTGGACTACCCCACACTACCGAAAAAGGCTTCCAGACAGGGCACCCCGACAGGAGGGTCCTGGTAGGTTTTACCAAACAACCATGGTTCTACAAAGGATTTTGCACGACTAAACCCACTCAACCATGTGCCTTTAATGGTCCAATGAAGGCTAGCTCTAGGGCTTCTACATGTCCCGCATAGCGGGAGGTTCGAGCCAGGGCTGTGCTGGTGGTTGCGGTGGTTGCGGTGCTTGAGGGTCTAGGGCGGTGTGATCACACAGGCACACCAGGTAGATAGCACCGTAGTTGGTGAGAAACAAAAAGGTTCAACCATCTAATTAGAATTTATGATATTAGACATTCTTCTTTTCATGCATGAAAAGAGATGGAAAGAGTCCAATGCCGTATGTCCACACAAAAGTCGTGGAAAACCATGTCACCTCCCAGCCATCACCCCTTCCCGATCGTGGTGGTTGTTTCGGGAACCACCTCGCTGGTGCCAACAACGGTTCCGGACCCCGGCACCTTGTGAAGAGCCGCTGGGACGCCGTGCTTGCCATGCTCCACCATGCCTGATTCGAGGAGTTCAGTCGACCTGGTCCAAATCTGGTGGAGTCGCAGGTGTTTTACGGGTCACGGGCTGGTGGATCCAACACTTGTTTGGTGTTCGAAGTCACGTCCGCCCGAAAGGCAAATCCCCAGGTGATGCGTCGTGTCGTTTGGCCTCGGCGTTTCTTTGAATGATCCAGGCAAAGCACTATAGCTGGTAACCAGTGGTTTCAAGAACTATTATAATAGACTTAGAAACCCTGGTTCCTTATATAGCATAATGGTAAGTCGGATCCACTGGGCTTGACTCACCCGGACGCGAGCATGGACCCTCTCCGTGAGGATTCGACCGGGGCCGGGACCCGAATCCTCTGGAGGGTCCGGCAACCAATCCTGGTGGTTTTGAGGGACCAGTCGGGTTGTTTGGGGTTGGTCTGGGTATGTGAGTGTTTGGAAGGCGAAGAGCCCAACTGATGGACACATCACACCGTCCAACTTATACCAACATGTGGCTTCGTACCTCTAGATCTGCCGACCTCTGCTTGTAGACGCAAGCGCTACCGTCGACGATGTTTCCCGCCTCACCAAGCACCCTGCAGCACAGGCAGGTTTTTCTTCGTTACGACTAGTCGAAGCTGACCTGGATTTTCAGGCACCGTCGAGGCGTTAAGTCCCAGGCTTTGAAACAAGTTCAAGGCTGCCTGACGTACATCACTTGGATGTTCCAACCGGGCTCGTCCTGGACATAAAGCTGTTTGAATATGTTTATATAAGTACCAGGAGCTTCCAAGAGGTGTCTATGAATAGCCTCTTAGAGGTGATTCGGGGTGTCCAAAAACCACCGAACTTGGAAGGTGCTGGTATATGGACATAAGATCCAGGTCGGCACCAAATCTTTGGCTTCTGACACAGAATCAGAAGGTCGAATTTTCCTGAAAACAACTCTGCCCTCTTCTCGGACGGTGCACCCGTCGCGTCGCGTCTCGCCACGGATGACCCGTCGTCGTGCCGAGCCGCCGCCCATCTCCTCGTCGCCTCTGCGGACCTTTCCTGGCGTCCGGGAATCGACGGAAGGGCCTCTGAGGGTGCGCGTTTCTCAAGCGAAATCTGTAAAACCAAGGAATTGGTACTTAAGGTTGTTTGGACCAAAGGAAGGTCCAGGGATTTTCGTCAGAACGCAAGCTGTTTTGGAGGTGTCCCACCACAGGACTCACATCATGTTCAAGTGACCACAAGCTGTTTTGGAGGGCCATCTGAAACTTGACATCAAGTGTCGAACCTCTGTCTCCACAGAAATCTGATTCGCAAGTTGTACACCAAAACCCAGATGGGTTGTGGCTCCCCCCTTCAGGGCTTGGTCTTAACCCCCGTGGTTTGTGGCAAACAACCGGGGGCTTCACCGGTCTTCTGTCTGACCCAACTGGACTGTTCAGGCCTTGTAGGGCGGTGTCTTCCAGCATGGTGCACCAGGAGATGTCTCAGAGACGGTACGTTTGTTGTCCAAATGCTTTGTAAAGATGCTTGCTTTTGCTCCAAGTTAACTTAGACTTAAGAGTTCGATGTGATGCTTCCAGCAAGTTCAGCTAGGGTAGCTAGCTTAGCTCGAAGAGAGTGCTGAGACCCCCCCTTTCGGGGTCACTCTGTTCCACCCTACCAGCTCCCACCCAGTCCCCACAAACGAAAAAAACACGCCGGACAAACATCGCGCCTAGCTCGGTGATCTCGGTGACCAGCCAGAAGGTGCCAAGGGCCATCATCATTCCCAGGTAAGGCGGCAGACCTGCCGTCAGGCGGTGCCGTCAGGCACATCGTTCGGGAGAAGCGGTGGGGAGAAGCGACCTGATTCGCCGCGGAAGTCCTCGTTCCCGGCGGTGCTCTCAGGGTGGGGGTGTTCACGGAGGGAAAACCATCACCACCCGTCGAAGCCCGCGAAAGACCCGTCGACGACTCCAGGGGGGCCTATGAAGGATCGCCGAATCGCCGCCGAAGCGTGTTCACTTGGTGGTCACCTCGGTCACCGTCCTTGGTCACCGTAGCTCAACTGGGGAGACCTCCCAGTGAAAGACCCCCTGGAAGAAGGAAAATCGACACCAAATGACACCAATCCATTAGTCCATGTGCATCTTCCATGACTCGAAGGCCTGTGACCATCTTCACCACTGGCACCGTCAAGATGCACAGCATTCCTCAGGTGGAGAACATCCGTTTGTTCCGTCTGGATGGTCGTGTGAAGCCTGCCAGACAAAGGTTTTTGATGAGATTCTCCCCTGTTCTTTGGAACAACCAAGAAGGTGGCCATCTCGACGCATGGGAATTGCTAGTCACATCATCTTGGCTCCATATCAACAACCCTTTGTGACCCAGGAGCCGCAGCCGGGACCGGGATGTGGACATTCAGACGTAGCCAAACGAGTCAGCCCAACGAGTCACGTCGCCACACGTCTCGGGGCACTTGGAGGGTAGCCCCTGGTGTCTCCCCATGGCTCACTTCTGCCGCTAGTAAGGCGTTACTGATCTTGTGAGGGGAGGTCCATCGAGAATCACGTTTGGCCAAAACTTCGCAAAGACCGGGCAAACCATGTGCCAGCGCGGGTGCAGATGGTGAATCAGTGTTGACAGTTGCATGTGATTTGACTTTGATACTGAACCCACTAAATGACCTTTGTCCTATCTTTTCAAACCAGTAGTCACCCACGTCTTGCTCTCCCAGGGTCCGACCAGCAGTGCTACCTTGCTCTCCCAGGTCGCCACCAAGTCTTCATGCCTGCGATGACAGCCCCCAAAGGGGCGCCCCTTGGGATGAGACATGTTGAAATGGAGGACTCAAAGCGCTTTGCCAACGGTTGTCGTGTGGCTCGTCCCGATCCGAAAACGTCGGCACCTCGTTCCGCTCCATGGATCGCAGCCCGAGCTCCGAACGCGCCTGTTGAGATCACTACTGATCTCTTAAAAAACCAGCACCCGACTGATCTCTTATCACCACCTGCAACTTTCAAGTCTGCATTTCAGCCACCAGAAGAGACCTTCCAACAGGTGCTGGTATACTATATCTATATAGCTTGCTGAATGGTGATGCTTGGGAGAAGGCTCATCGTCTCCAACGTCCCTATATATCCTCGATGCCTCTCCGTTGGTCTTGGGACCACCCAATGGAGGCAGATCTTGTATGGACCTGGAGTGTCTGGGTGTTGCGAAAGAAGTCCGTGCCAAAGACACTGTGTCTCTGTGTCTTTCTTTCTTCCAAGTGTTGAAACCCAGAGGTCTTCTTCCCCATTTGAAACCACCCTGGTGAATGTTGAAACCCATCTGGTGCCGTTGTCCTCGTATTCACCACCACCAAAGACCATACACATTCGCATGTTCCACATCCAGGTGACCTGTATTTCTCATCCTCACTGTCCCGGGGCGCACATCGCTTGGCCTCGAAGCAAGCGCGCAACACCCGCGGCAAGCGGGGCGGTAGTGCGAAAATTTATGAGGAGCAGATCCGGGTGATGAGTGATAACCTGGATCTTCCAACGATGCAACATGTCTGCCAGCCATGCAAAATGTCTGGCTTTTGAGATGAAGTTCGGCAGACATGTTGCACAGAAGGGCTGGAAGATCCAGGTATGGAGAACAGATTGTCAATGCGCGCCTTCGTAGCGATGGGTGATGCTGCAAGGCTTTTTCGTCAATTTTGCCACGAAGATCTGAGTCACTGTCGACAACACCCTTCTTTGACCCTTGTATAGACGATTGATGAATGAAGCCCCCCCAGACCCCACACATCTATGGATTTGTAACACCTCTTCCGTCCCTTGATGGCAAGTTTCATGAATTAAGAAAAACTTACGAGTCTACATGATCATCGCTCTCCAACTCCAAGTCTTCTCCATCTTCAGGTGCCTGACACTCCCACCCACGGTTCCTCTGTTTAGCGCTTTGGGGCGCACAGCGATGCACAGCCCAACGCCCAAAACAGGTCCCCTTCCGCTTCGGGTTGGCCGTCGACTCGACTCGTCCGCAGCACCAGGCCTGCCACCAAATCCCGAAGAGGGGCAGCACGCCCGCCACGAAGGACGGAAAGAAGAGCCAGGTGATGGTGCCTCGGAGTCGCGCGGCGCGGCACGAGGGATTGGGGACATGGCGGGGCGGTCGCGGAGGTGGAGGATGTGTCTCGCGGAGGTGGGCTCGGGTGTCGGTGTGCCTTGAAGACTGTGCCCAAAACCAAGCGGAACAGGAAGAAGTCCCCGGTCGGGCGGTTCCAGGTCGAGCTGAATGGAGGAAGTCGGGGTGAACATCACATCCACTCGCTGGATGGGACGAGCCACACCACCACCTTGTAACTTCTGGATGATGCAGGCATGTGAGGTCATTCTTTCGAAAATGCGCACCACCTTATGTGCTCCTCTGGATGGGTTGGTGCCCTTTGATGTAATTCTTCACTTCAAGAACCCGCAAGCGCATGGTGTTCGAACCTGTTTGGACCTGTGAGAGTAGTAGCAATGCCCTTTGCAGCTTTGTTCCTAGATGTTCCTAGTATATAGCTTCTTGATGCTTCTTGTTACTACTGAGCCTGCAGCTTTGGATTCTCTCCAACTACCCAGACCTTGAGGCACCGCCCAGATCTTCAAAGAGCCATTCCCTTGAGTGCACCCACCAAGAGAGGTTCAGTGATGGACATTACCGGGGTACCCAACTGAAATCCAACCTCTCATGGGGTCCTTCAACCTCTCCATAGGGTCCTTCGCGACGAGCACTCATCAACTCTCCTCATCAACCCTCCGTCGCATCCGCCTGTGGTGGAGATCTTGTGTCTGATCCAAAGCATCGTGGTGGTGACGTCGCCGATCGGGCTCCAGGCGCCTGGAGACGCGATTGAGTCGGGCAATGAAGACTCCACGCCTCCATCCCTTCGCTGAAGGGAACGAGGTTGAGTCGGCGGATTGAGGGTGGAATGAAAGGGCTCAGGTTGGAAGGCCAAACACCCGAATTGTTGTCCAAAATCAGGGGAAGGTTCAACGAAGCTTAAATCGAAGCCCCCCTCATTTTTACCACCCGTGGTCATTTGTTTCGCTTTATTGTAGTTTGTTCTCCTGGGGTGCATAGAATCTCACAAAGCATACCCAAATAAACCACCTCCTTGGTGAGTGACCATCTGTCTATGCGGGCGCCTCTGTACCCAGCCCTCAGGACTTCGCCAGAAAAGGTGTGTCAAGTGCACAGCTTCCAAACTCAAGTTCGGTCTCCTTTACAAGAGACTGTTAACAGAAAACGACCTCAAAGGACAGTAGGGATTCATGCCACAAGAAATAGAATCCCAACATGTGAGTCTGAGGACATGTATTGTTATAAGAGGAGTCACAAAAGAGTGGTTTTTAGTCACTTACTGAGTGGATCATGGGCACCCTATCCTACACTAGTCAACCCTTCTGAACTACTGGTATGTCATATTTTATATTTCATCATAGAAAATCTATCAGTTTCATTGTTATCATACCTATGTCCCCCAACCGAAACCCACACCTCTCCCCAGCCTCCCTCGCTTCTCCCGCCCACTCCGCTCGCACCTCCCGCGTTGGCCGCCACCACTGTGAGGCCGCCGCAGGAGTGACGCCAGTCCTGGAGGGCGACTTGGAGGGCGACTTGGTGCCCCTGTCACAGAAGATCTCACTCTGACCAACTTGTTGAAGTTCCTGTGCTTAGTAGGGAATATGGGAAAGTTGCCCGCGATGGAGATACTATACAACTCTGAAAAGGACTCACAGAGCTCCAAGTGCTTTGGCTCGCCCCATCCAGGGCGAGCTCGTGGATGTGATGTGACAGGGCTGATCCCCTATCCTACCTCCAAGTTCGGCAACCCGAGGTAGTGACTCCTGGTGTGACCAGCTTGTTTGCTTTGTCGTGTTAAAAACACAAAAATATAAAGTATGTACCCTAGAAGTCCAGTTCGACTATATTTTGCCCCACTGAAATAAAGAATATTCTTTTTCGGGTCACCTAAAGACCACTTTGACTCCCAGGGTGTATATATATATATATATATGCATTCCAAAGACGGTGTTGTTTTGTCGCATCTGTTTCGTAAGGTCTTGGTCCGGCCTTTGTCGACCCAACAACCCCAACCCGCACTGAAGAAGGAAACGCCTTTCCGGGCAGGAGGCCTGGCGGCCAGCCATCCGGAAACCGGGCACCCCTTCATGCCACCGAACCACGTCGTCCGAAGAACGCAGGTCTGCCACCACGACTTCGATGGCTTCGAGATGGTTTCGATAGCTTCGGTGCTCCTGTTTGTGCGGGACCACCCTCTTCAGGATCTTCACGCACACGATGGTGGCCGTGAGGTTGTCGATCACCGCACCTGCTTTCCACGCACAATTTTTGCAACATGTGCCAGAGAGAGACACCTCGCTCGACCCCGAGCGAAGGCACGGAGAAGCTTTTCCACATGAGACACCCTGCTTCGGGGAGCTCCAACGGAGACTGAAAGAAACAGAAAGGGACTCCCTGGAGGCCTCTCAATCATTGAATTTGTTGAGCGCCTCATGTGGGGAGGGGGTTTGGAGATGAGCCTTGTGGTGAAAGAGAAATACCTCTAAAATCGATGGAACTCTTTGACCCCCCAAATCCACTTTGCAACCCCATCAGTGCGAAAAGCCACCTCTTTCATCTCAAACCCAGGCAGAAAGCCTTGTGTGACATGACTGAGACCGTCCTTCGCATGCGTTGGCCAAACACCCGACCGCCAGGGCATGGTCGTCCCGAGGCGACGTCCAAGCAGCCGAGGGGCTCAAAAAGAAGGCGAGAAAGCAAATCAATGGCATCAATCGATCTGCCTGGAGAAGATGGCATCCATCCTTCTTGCTCCATGTCTCAGTTCTACCCCTAAGGTAAGGTAAGATGTGACAGAGCAACCCGACTTCCTCCATGAAGCACCCGACTTCCATGGAACTGCTTCATCCGTCCAGTCGAACATGCGTCGAACACTGGAGCATGGAACTGCCTTCCTCGACCCCCAGAGTTAGGTCCAAAGGCGACCGCCCCCCTGAAAACCACTGGTGCAGCGAACGAGGAAAACCATCGGACCCAGGTGACCAGGACTTACCTCAGGGTCTCAGTTTTCGGTCTTGTACCGGTAGGAAGTGGGATCCCCTATCCAACAACTGGTGGACTGTAATTGTGATCAATAATTTGGAAACACAGGGAAAAAGAAACCAAAACGCCTCACTTCATCACAGCTAGACTGGAAACCAACCCACACCTACAGAACATCGTCAACCATGAAGTCAAGACACGAACCGTTGGAAGCGGCGTGTCCGTGCAGCGACCCTATAGCGACCCGGAGCCTGACGAGGCGAATCCGGAGCGTTGCAGCCTGGACATGCCTGGAGCACTAGACACGGACCCTACACAGCCAAGTCCTACGCTGCTAATCCGGCTTCTCTATATCCAGGACACCCGGAAGGGACGGATGCTCCAGGCTGGTTTGGCGTCTTAGACGTCACAACAAATCCTGGAAGACCCCGAAAACGGTGAGCGGCTTGCGCGCGGGTCCCGAGGAGTCAGACTAGCACTAGCACCTTGTCTTTGGTGTGACGTACGATGAAGGCGGTCACCACCGAAAAGCCGTCCAAATGGTCCTTGGTTGGCTCCGCTTGAAAGCACGTGCTCCGAACGGAACCACTGGAGCCCAGGGAGACCCACGCCGATGGTCCTTCGACCACGTCTGGGCATGTCAAGCTACACAGAGCCTGAAGTGGTATGGAAGTGAATGGCGCCCCCTGTTTCAAGAGGGAAGTAGTCTTCCAGCAGACCATGCCGTGACCATGCCATCCACTTCCATGCGATGTGTTTCTCAGAGGTACAGCATGGGGGGGAGCCACACTCGGATGCTTTGCCGGGAAAATGGCTCCGTAAAGGAAAACTCCCAAAACGAACACAGGGGTCGGCGCGAACACGGGCCGGTCCACGGAGGAACACGAACACCGCCCTGGACACGTGGCACCTGGAAGCAAAAGCTGGGTTCCTTTAGGTCTAACTACCTGCCAGTCCTCCGACAGAACTTGAAAAGGTGTTGAGCAAAACCACACACACTTTTGAAGATGTGGGAGTTCTGTATGACACACTTGAAGATGTGGGAGGTGCTTAGTCGGGTCAAAAATGACTTCGACCGATGGTTGAGAGCGGCTTCTAGCGAGGAAGGGTCGTCGTGTCGCTTACCTCGGTAAGTAACCTCTAGGGCTCTCCAGCCTGGAGGGGCGACCTCTGTAAGTGTACCCCTCATCCCCAACTACGCAGGAGTCCCACCAGAGTTCGCTAGTGCTGTGTAAAGCGTCCAGGATACATGTTCACAGCTGACCTGTGAATGTTCCAGTGTCCTCAATTTTGCCACCCTCTAAATCCTCTGATCCGTATAAAGCCTCCCGTCTCCCCTTGCGTTTCACCTTCCAAAAAACTCTTTTCGCAGAAAAAGCTCGATGGATTCCACGATGCCCATGGCTGGCAGCAGGAAGAGAATCACGCTGCCCACATCCGCCAAGCCTTTCCTGGGTGTCTTCGAAATCCACCCCAACGGTGGGACGGTGGCACACCGGCTCGGGGCGTCAGACATGAAGGTGATGCCGCTTCGGCCAGAGATAGGCAATAGAACCTGGCATGACCTGGCATGACCTGGCAATAGGTTTTATAGATGTCTAAAAGGTTCGCAACCAATTGTTGTTTGTTGAGGATGAAGCATCGAATCTCTGACGGCTGCAAAGGCAGTCAGATGAGCCACAGATCTCATACTGCAGTATCTCTTAAGACTAAGAGCTCCCCAATTCTTTTGCAAGACATTTGAACTGGGACTCACAACAAGCTGTGGTCACTAGCCGGCAAAAAAGGAAATTGAAAATTCAAAGGAGAGTCATGGTGATTGATTCAAATGATTGCTATACAACAAATCATTATGGAATATCTTCTCTCATGAAACAAGATCCTTGCTTCGATGCCGCTTTTTCCTTAAGACCACCCGCAGTCTAAGAACTCGATGCCCCAGGTCGCTTCCGCAGCAACGAACAACCGCAGAAAGCCTACTGAGCACCATGACGTCCACACGACAGCTCCCAGGATTAACATCAACTGTGGTGGTTGTAGACGTAGCCTTTCTCTTTGTGTTTTGTGTTTTTTCGAAGGCCTCAGATGGTTTTGTCTTGCAAAACGGACGGTTCGTTGAGAAGGGGTGAACAAATGAAATCAAAAGATTGTGTGTTGTTTCTCCTGTTGAGAGAAATCCACCAAGTTCACCACTGAGTTCGACGAATGAAATCAGTCAGAGACTGTCCTTCTTTCTTTCTTTCTTTCTTTCTTCCTTCCTTCCCTTTCTTTCTTCCTTCCCTTCTTCTTTCTGGGGCCATCAGGGGTCAGACACTAACCGCTACCTATTCGGGTTGAATTTGGGCCAATCGTGAAACCAGCACGACGCTCCCTCCAAACCTTCCAGGTCCCCCACGTTGGTCACCAAGGCTCGCGAGCTGCTGCTGCAACTCGTCATGGCCCTGAGCGGCGGAGGGTTCACGGGGGGTGGCCGAAGCATGGAGATGGGCGGCATCAGCTTCGCAAGGAAAGACATCAGAACGAGAGGACAGCTGGGGGAGGACCAGAAGTCGAATGCAAATCTATAAGAATTGGAAGACCAGCACTTCTGCTTTAGACCAGCACTTCTGCTGAATTGATGATCTTCATGTCTTACATGGGCTTTTTGGTGAACTTGCCTGAAGCAGAAGGGACCTTTGGACGGGCCGACTGCGACTCGACGTGATGGGCATCATTCACATCCAGTCTCGACGTGACACATCATGCGACCGACCTCACGAGATGAGAAGTCCGGCAAAAACCTCTTGAAGGACTGGCTTGGTGTGTGGCTTGGTGTGTGGTATTCCCATGTATTACAAGTCCTAGTTGTGATTACAAGTCTTGATTACAAGTCCTTGTTGTGTGGTATTCCCATGTATTGCCTAGATGTCCACGCAGCTCACCACGGCCCAAAAGGTCTCCTACCTTCCATCGAATGACAGGTCACTCTGGAACAAAAGGTTCATCGCTTCGACGGCAGTTCCACGTCATGTCAGGCGTCTCAAGAAGGCGTCGGAATACAAAAGATAAGACTCTGTAGATTAATACGGACTCTCCAAACCACTGGGTTGTAGAGGAAAATGGTCTTCCGCCGATGTTCAAGGTCCATGTCAATACCTAGATCTTCCAACAGTGCAAGCATTTATCGCCCACCTTGACCATCAAGGCTGGGCAAGAATCAATGAGAAAATAGGCAGAAAGATGCTTTTGGCACTGCTGGGGACATGTTGGAGAATATGTCTGCGCCCCATCAGACCCGTGAACCTGCCCGCTTCACCGATTTCGAGAGACCCCTTCGATCAAACCAGGACGGAATGGACGATTTAGGTGAAAAGGACATGAACGATCATCGAAAGAAACCACTTCAAAAACCATGGTCCTACTTCAAAAACCATGGCTTATTCCATCCGAACTTCGCGCGTGTGACTTCGAACAAGACGAAGCACTTCCCCCGTTTCACCGACTCTTCAGTCCGTCCTCGTGGGAGTGCGTCGGGTGGAAGCCGGCGGCCTGGTGACGACTCCGGTCGTTCGTTCAGCGGCGGAAAACGAAACGTTTTGAGAGTGATCTGGATGGTTCGGTTCGTCCCTTCTGAGCTTCACTGGTTTAAGAGTTAGGCAGGGATGTCCCAAAGAGACACGTTCAAACAGTTTTGAAAAAGGCTTTGTTAAAAAATAGTAATAATAAAAACGTCATCAATATCTCTGGGCGTGCTCAACAGCTGGTCTGCTCTGCATGCCAAGGAGCATGATAGGTCCACATGACTGATGCCAATACCTGGGTCAAAGCACTCCCTGTGCGCATGCGCAAAGAACGCAGGCACGTGCACGCCACTGCACATGGAAAGGCCAGGCTGAGTGGCTGTAAATGGCACTCTAAAGCCCTCGACTTACAAAAAAGCGACCACCAAAGGAAGTCCGTCTCAGCAATGTGTTGTTCTATGTTCTATCCTGTCCACACGTGGAGCCCAAATGAAATGCCTCAACAGCGTCAACTCCTATTCTAGCTCACCTCCATCCACCAAGGCCTCTTCCTCCACCAAAATCCACCGCTTCCACCGTTCAACTGCCGGCAGGGCAACGACTTGCACCCCGAGCGACCAGCATGATGGCAGACTTGTCCAGGTTGATGACATCCTCCAGGGCCACTAAAGTGATCCCCGTGAGAAAGAGCGCCGCCAAGATCTTCCTGCCCGAACCGCCACGAATGGCCTCTCCGAGCTCCGAGCCGGAGAGGAGGAGGTCGGGGGGCCAAATCCGCCACCGACAACGGTGGGTTTCGGGTGAAGCCACGTGAGAGAACACACACGTCCCGTCGGACGAGTCGCTGTTCCCCACAGCGACTCGTCCCAGGAGTTGGATTGACCATCCTGGGGTTCCCCAGTCCCCAACCATAAACCATTTCCCCAGACACGACCTGTCTGGGACTGCCAGTCCGGACTGCCGAGAAGCGGCCAGGGGTGGTCTGTCTGGTGCGGCAGTCCGGCAGTCACAGACAAGTCGTGTCTGGGTTCTGCTTCTTCCTACCAGTTGTTCACTGACTGTTACAGGTGGACAGACCCAAGCAATATGCTTTGGAGATCCTTGACAGCTGGGTGGGTGGGAATGAACCCAGGATGAGAGACCTACCAGGCCCCCCCCCCGTGATCTGAAAAGTGATTCAAATAGCTTAGAACAAGTTTGTTTCCTCCAAAGGGTCGGACCCAACACACGACACGACGTCGGACCTTCAGCCATGACCTTCCAAAGGTCGGTGAGTTCAACCCGGTTCGCCCAGCTGGAGGGTGAGTCTGAGCCCTAGACTTCCAAGGCTAAAAAATGGTTGAACGGTTTTTTGTCGTGTAAAATCCTCAGTTGCTTCGGGATGACCCACCTATATTCGTTGAATATATGGTCGTGTTCGTCGTCCTCCGGGTGAGGCTTCTTCTTCGTTCTCGTCCCACCGACGACGTCCGTCGTTCGGACGTTCGGAACGATGGCTACGTTGGAGGCCATGCTGGCGCTCCAGTGGTTTTCCCGAGGTGAACACCCTTTCCGCCGCGGAACAGGTTGGAGGCCATGAAAGCCAACACCCATCGCTTTCACCCGAAACGTCAGACGGGTCGTTCCAGGTCGTTCCTACGGTGCCCCGTCTCCGGTCGCTCCGGTGGGTGTCGTCGTTTTCGATCACGTTGCTGGGCCATCCGAAGAAGGCCTGGGCGCGTTTTCCTGGTTCTTCGGGACGTTGCGCGGACGGCCGGTGTTCCGTTCCACCCTCCCAAAGGACGGATCGTGAAACGGCGACGAAACCAAACACAGACACGCACATGGTCAAGCGGGGTAGAACCAAACATGGATGCTGTCAGCATGCGTAGCAATCCTTTGTCTCGATCCTTTTGGACCAGACTCTAGACTCTCTAGACCTCAACAGATTTCTTGGCACGGCTTCTTTTAAAGGTGTTTCTTTTGTAGGCACGGGCTTCCGATGAGCTGATGCCTTCCAGCGCGTGCCCTTTGTGGCTTCAGACACATTGTGTTTTCTGCACTGAAGTGCTTTTCTCTCTCTCTCTCTCTCTGCAATTACCCCAGTGGACCACAAAGACTTGCAACGAAACCATGAAAAGCCGCTGGATTCGTCAAACCGCCAGGGGCGCATCCTGACATCAGGGAAAAAACTGAACCAGCCATACGTGATGTGACAGGGACACCGGCCCTTCTTTTTGCCTCCATGTCAGGCCCACCTGGAACTGCTGATGGATGGACTGTCCAAAAGGGAAACATGTTCATCATTTTCGATCAGGGAAGATCAGGTCCCCAAATAGATAGAGAAACGGCTTCCAAATACATCCAAATGCCGCGTTCAGAGCCTTTCTTCGGCTATTCTGCCAAAAAGGACGTCCCATCAACCTTCAAAAACGCCAACCCCAAGGGGACCCACTCCAAGTGGCGAAAGCGAAAATCACCAGGAAGAGCCCCAGACCAGCGATCTTCATCAACCGCCTGGTAGACGTTACGGCGCCCTTCACCTGGGCGCTTGTTCTCAGTCGACTCGGCCCGGATCGACGGTCGACGGTGGGACACCGTCGAGACGGTGGGACACCGTCGGTCCCAAAAAGAAGCGCCGTTGGACCGTCTCTTCTGGGTTCCTGGCACGATTGATGTGATGATCCCGAAGAATCATGGTGTTACAACTTAAGGGACCTTACATGCAGGTGTAACAATCATGGTGTTACATGCAGGTGTCTTTTGAAACCTGCAAGGACCAGGTCCAAGTTTCCAGTCCAATGGGTCACTTGGGGCGAAGACGAGCAGCACTGGCAGCCGAAGAGACGCGAGCCCAAGAAACCCATTGGGAGTCTTCTTGAGGGACTCTATTGGGAGTTGGTGTCCTTGATGGAAATTCCTCCATCCCAGGAATTCCAAGCCCTCATTCGTTCACCAAGCCCTCACCTGAGAGCGACCTCCCGACCGCCACCGCCATGACCGCCCCTGACCGAAGAACTGGTCTGTGGAGATAACTCTTGAGAGATGGTTAGACCGACCACCCCACGTCGTCTGTGCCTCTTCTCGTACGTCCCTCCCACCCCAAAGGCACCCAAAGGCCCTTTCAGGCGCCTTTCTTTCATCCATCGACCCGGCCTATTTCAGCAGTCCACACCCCAAGCGACGCCTCCCTCCCCACCGGAGCCACCCGGGCCCCTATTTCAGCCCTATTTCACCCCAGCCCCCTATTCCGTTCCACACGACGTGGCGACCGCCGGTCGGCGCTTCGCCTGAGACCTCCAAGGCGCCGCCTTTTCTCCGGTGCAGGTGACCTCGACCTTGGTCGTCTTGGACGCCACCGAGGCCGCTGGGCTGCGCACGCGTGAGAGTTCCTTGGACGGCAGACGGAGAGACATGGGGAGGGGAGATGAGACAGGGGCGGAAAAAGGAGGAGCGGATCAGGGCTGGTGGTTGGGACATCAAAAGAGAGGATGTCATCTCTCAATGCCCAAGGATGCCCATAAGCTAGAAAAATATGGGTTGCTAGGTTGGAGGCGATCGCTGGTGGGTTGGAGGCCATTACTGCTAGTAACAAGAAGCTGCTAGTAGTAGGTTGGATGTCCATGGCCCATGGATGTGGGACAACGATCCAACATCAAGCTCTTCATCCTGGCGCAGCTCGGTGACCCGGTTCACACAACATATGTTGTTGTGAGCCCGAAGCTGACTTGAGACTTGGTCACAGACTTGAGACTTGCGAGAATGGCATCCAAAATCATCCAAACATGCGAGAATGGCTTCTTAGGTTCTTCTTGTTCTTTTTCTTCATCTTCCTCGTCTTCTTCCTCTTCCTCCTGGCCTTCCAACTCATGGCCTTCCAACACTCACCTCCCCACACGTCTGTGCTTCCTACGAACAAGAAGCTACGAACACGTAGCTTAGCTCCTGGCATTGCTACGAACGGAACAAGAAGCAAACGAACGTAACAAGGGCATCGCTACGAACGTAACTAGAAGCTTCTCATTCCACATACCCGGCACTCCTCTCACTCAGGCCCCCGACAGAGAGAGGGCTATTTTGCCGCTGCAGAAAATCCGGCGGCAACGGCAGGGTGGTCTGCAGAAGCGCGCGCATCGCTCGCCCGCGGGGTAGTGGGGCGAAGCCACGACTGGAGAAACCTGAAACCCTTAAAACGAAACAAAGGAAAGACACCTGAGGAACTGGTGAAAGGTGAGATGCGAAGTACTTTTTCCCCCTGCTTTTTTCCTTCAGGATGAAGGGCCATGTGCAAGCCATCTCAGTTGGACAGGCCATCCGCGGCCATCCGTGGTGGTTTTGCCTACACCCTCACCCACGACCTCCTCACGGGGGTGTCACAACCTCTTCACGGTCAGACCCTACCGGTCCCTACCGGTGAGACCTCAGCTGGTCGGGAAGACCTGGGTACGACATCTGGTCTGATGAAAGCCAGTATCCATGAGGTCTTACTCCATCGCTCCAACTATAGGGAAGTCTGAGAATCATAGCAGATTGAAAGGCTTGTTGAAGGTCGTTTTGACGAAGGATGTTAGGACTACACAACAGAAGACGTTCCTTCCTTTCCCGAACATCTGAATCTGACCATTCATTCCAAGGTCTTTGAAGGCGAAGACCATGGGCGGGGAAGACCCCATGCGGCGACCTGCACGCCATCGATGTGCACCTCCCTCGCCTCCTGAGAGATGGGGAACGAATGGGAAGGTGGGGATGGATGGAGAGGAGAGGGGCCTTTCTGCCAAAGAGAGGCCAACTGCTCCCCGGCCTCCGCCGTTTTGGTTGAGAGCCGTTGAGCGGTTCTGAGGTGGTGTTCGTGGGAAGTCTCACAGCCGGCTGTGAGAAGAAGGTGGGCGGTGGCTTCGTTCGTGGTGCATGCAATGCAAACTTCTGCGAATGGGTCCTGTCTTTCAGACAGTTCCCGCCCTCCACGGCAGGAACGGGCGGAACCCGACGGAAGATGGAAGACGGGTCGGTCGTTCAGCTCCTTTGTCTCCGGAGAATCGGATGGGGAAAGGCTGCTGGGGAAGGATGTGGACGCAGCAATCATTGGGGAGATGTGGAAGACATCCAACATCTGACTGGTGCGACTCGGGAATGAGGGAATGGATCCAAAGGAATCTCTAGACAGGGGGGCTCATTCCCTCATTCTCTACGAGTCGCACCAGCCAGACCATCCAGTTTGATCATCAATACCCTCAGTCAGTCCAGTCGACCAAACGAAAATGGTCGATGATTGGTGATCCTATTTTAGGAACTTCCTGAAACAAAGATCATCGAACTGGACGTCTAGGGAAAATTGACCGTCGCCAGAGTCTCTTGTCACCCGTCATCTTCATCTACAGGGAACTCCTCGACTTCCACTGGGTGGTTTCGACCAGCTTCTTGACTGAACTGGAACCAACATAGGTGCTGGAGAAGCGAAACCGCTGCTCCCCTGCGTTACCCTGCCAGTCTGATTTAGTTGTCCGCATACCAAACAATCATTGTTTTTGCTGTGGATTTGAGGCTACAAACCTCCTCTTGACCATCTTGTAAACGGTCCAACGGGTTAGGCGAACGGGTTCCAAACACAACTCTATGACTCATCTATGACATTCTATGACTATAATATAGACTCCATGTATGGAATATATGCCGATCAGTTGACTCCCCAAACCACCCCAACTGATCGTCATATATGGCGTACAGCGTCTGGGTATATATCATGCGAAGAGGTTGAACCTCTCTCCGAGCCCAACAGCACCAGGCAGGAACAGTGCTTCCCTGTCGACCCTCTCCCCAACCAACGCGCCAGTCGAAAGACTTTGGGCAACCAAGTGTCGGGCATCAGCGCCTTCACAGTCATCGTCTTTGGGCAACCACCTCGCTGAAAACTGGGCCGCATGTCTTCAAATCATTTCAAACCCTTTCAGGGACGACCCTCTGGACCCATTCGCCCGCTCTCGCCGTTCTCTTCGGGTCCCTCCCACACCGACTTGGCCCAGCGAGGCTTCGCGTTCGGTGAACTGGGGCCACCCGGTGCAGTGGGGCCACCGGAGTGGGCCGTCCAACCCAGAGGTTTGAGAGGATCCACTCTGAAAACATGCTGGAGTCCACTGGAGAAAACAAAACCGAAGCACCCAGGCCGGTGCTTAAGCCCTCAGCAAATGGGATGTTGCCACCAAAACCAGGGCCAGTGCCACAAGTCAGCGGATGGGCATGTGAAATCAGCAAGTGTTTAGCCGCCCCCAACGTAGCATCCCTCAACGTAGCATTGGTCAAACGTTCTGATGCCTCGCATCACTGGCTTTGCCCTAGCCCAGCCGAAGCCCATCACAAAACGAGCATGCAGCTCAAGCCAAAGCCAATCACGATCGATGAACGGACAGGGCGGTCTTTCCACTCGGAGCCCTGTCCGGCCACTGATTCGGTTGCCCAAGGCGCTTTTGGGTTGTCAAGCTCTGCAAAAGGGAGAAAGAGATCGTGCGATGACTGTTCCTTTGAGCCATCAAACAAGCAGCAGTTCACACTGTGAGTGTCGCAAACCGGAGGTGGTTCAAACCAGTGGAAAGGTTCGCCCAGCACGCATTGGCACAAATGAAGAGGGTTGGCACAGGTTCACGAGTTAGGCATATCGTTTCAAGACTGACCAGCCCCTAGTGAAGGGATCCACTTGCATGCTAGAAGCTCATAAGCATTCTTCAACCAAGCTTAAGCACTGTGTTACTCCAACTAGCCGAAACCTCTTATGTCTGAAACGATATCGAACCAATGGTATTGGGTTTAAACAAAAGCATCACGGACACATCCAGCCTTCGGACACCAACTCTTAATAAATTACAAGAAAAAAAAACGGTCCATGGTGCTTTTCGAATAGGAAGACCCCCAGTACAACCTTTGGGCACCAAGGGGCCAAGGAAATTCCTGAACTTGGGTCATTCAAATGCTTTTTTGTTTTGGACTTCCTGGGTGTAACGGAGTGCTGTTGCCCTAGTATTTCTGGCCCACCATTGATTTGAGGGTTCCAATCAATCGCGAACAAGCATTTGTTTACTAAGGTTTTGAGCCTACAAAACCAGGTCAATCATGTTCTAGGTCCACCGAGGTTGTCTTTCTGTCATGTTGAAGGTATCGTCAAGGAAAATGGTCATCGTACAGAGCACGGATTTCGTACCTCTCGACTCGTGAGCCCTCTGCACCGGCGACTTGCCCTTGAAAGTTAGAAACTGATGACGAGTTCATCCACTGTCCCCTCAAAATCGTCTCATCTCCTCTCATCTGCTCCATCTACTCATCATCTGCTCATCATCTACGCATCGACTCATCCTCCATGTCGACTTCCTGTATATTCCATGACAACACTCCCAATCAATCACCCCTTGACGTTCCTCACAGGCTCCTACCTGCCCAACCCTGGTCCCGGTCCCGACCCGGTCCCGACCCGGTCCCGACACGGCAGCGACTGAGCGCCAGCGCCAAGGCTTCTTGATCCAATCCCGCGGTCAGCAGGCAGTGGTAATCCTCGGTCCAACAACTCGACTGCAAAAGGACCGTGCGACGACGGAAGCGGGGAAGGAGGGAGGAAGAATGCGAGGAAAGAGGTGAGTTCGAGGTGCGGAAGAAAGAGGTGATCAAAGAGAATCGGATCTGGCTATGACTCGCGTTGAAAGAGGGGCTCCAGAAGAGGTGAAGAGGTGAAGAGGTGAGGGGGGGATGGTCCGGGCTTGGTCCGGGCTTGGTCGCGGTCTTCCAGATGATGGCTTACGGAGGTGACCACGGCCCTCCACGAAAGCCACCGGCCCCGGTCCGCTCGTCCGTCGGTCCGAGCGGCGTCTTCCCGCGGGTGGGTGCAAATGGGGTCTTTCCGTCGGTTCGTGTCACGCAGGATTTGCGTTCGGAGAGCAACCGATGAGTTCATCAGGCGTTTTTCCGTGTCGGTGGCACCCTCCCAGGTGTTCCACCCACCCGGAAGGAAGAGAGAGACCGGTCGACCGGAAGTTGGGAGACACTGTCACCGTTGAACTGAGTTCTTTCCACCGGAACCCGTCGTGACCTCGTTTTCGGTGACTAGACCTCGTGGTCGTCCCCGCCACCTGTCGCTTCGGAACCTGCCAAACCCACGAAACAAGTAAAAAAAACAGCTGGGGCATGAGTTGGCTGAAGACCCCTAGCAATATCGGATGTTCCGATAATTTGCTTGAGATCCTTTACACAGCCCCTTCTTTGGGTGGACACATCCACGAATTTCTGCTTGTTTAGGGACAACCAAGTAGAGCTCTTCGTGCTGGGGACAACGGGCTAGGCTTCTCGTCCGGTCGTCCGGCTGGGTTGCCGAGCCATGGAATAGGCCAAGGAGAAGGTGCCCTGAGCGATGTAGGACGATGGACATGGCCTCCAACCTACTGTCGCTGGCTTAAGAGAACTGGCCTCTACTCTAGAGAACTGGCTTCTACTTTAAAGTAGACTAGGCCTCCAAGTAGACTAGGCCTCTACTTTAGAGAACTGGCCTCCAACCGAACGTAGCTTCTTCCGATCGTAGCTTCTTAATCCCTAGAGAGCCCCGAACGTAGCGTCCTTGCTACGAACGTGGCGATGCCCTTGTTCCTAAATAGCGATCGATGGCCTCCACCTAATAGCGATGGCCTCCTAGCAATATAGACTCTTCCGTAAGAATCCGGGCCCCTTCAGCAATACATAGGGTATAGGAACCAGGTCGTATACCCCTGCGAAAGGTCGGACAAGGTCCGACCCTGGAAGGTTGAAGGATTCTTCGGGTACAAACATGGGCATTTTAAGGGACCATGTTGTGGTCCTATTACCTGGGCCCAGTGGATGGTGATGGGGCCTGGTTGCAGGCCGACAGTTCAAACATGATGATAATTGTTTAGTGACTGTTACAGGTAATAGGACAGACCCTAACCATGTTGAAAACAGTCGTCTTAAGGGACCAGACCAAAAGTGTTTAAAACATGCAAAAACCGAAAAGAGACCCGTGGATGATGGGGCCTGCAACCTGCAAGGCCGACATCTCACAATTATAGTGATGCTCTTTCAACCAGTATACATAATTAACTTAACCATATATATATATATACCTGTCATTGGTTTAATGGGATTCATCCAGCCTCCGTCTTCACCTGGGTGGTGATGGCAAGTCCATCTCCGGCCCTGAAGAGCCGTGGCGAAGAAAAGCGGCACCTGCCGCGCCGCCTTCTTGTGGCCTTTGAAGGTCTTCTTGGGCTTCAACGTGGCAGTGTCCCACCTGCACCGAGCCATCGCGCTTTGAGGCCCGGCCCTCGGGGCCACACGGACGGAAAAGAGTGGTCGACACCGGAGCCGAGGTTCGGTCTGTGGATCCAGAGGGAGTTCATCTTTAAGTAGTAACAAGTGCCACGCTACTAGTAACAAGTGCCTTACTAGTAGTAACAAGAAGGCTACTAGGAACAAGTGCCTCACATGGTTTGGTTCGTCCCATTCCGTCGGAACTGTGGATGTGAGGTGACTCGGGCGGCACATGTGACGTGTGACTCCGTTTGACCTCTGAACCCCGTCACACGCGCGGCCAAGACCGCGCTGATTTGGGGGGGTGAGCGCCTCCCCCCCCTCTCACGTGAAAAAATGGAGCAAGCCATGTGACTGGGTCCCAATCCGGAAACCCCTAGGCCAAACCCCATCCTGGACAGTGGAAACAGCTCTTTCCGGTGGGATGATCCGCCGGATTGGCACCACCTCCCAAAGGATTACCCCGCCACCTTGGAGACAAAGAACTAGACCCCAAACAGGTGGGACAACAAAGAAGCATTCCCAAGTTGGGAGACATGGGAGACAAGAAGGAACACAAGGCGGACACTCTTAGAAAGGCAAAGAGAATCCCTAACAGTAACCTGTTTGGGGAAAAAAAACCTCAGTGAAAGCAAGCACCTACACCTGGGAGGATTAACATGGAACCCGATGGCCTGGACCTTTGGAAGACTAGCTTCCTCCACAAACCATGTGGGTCTCTTCCAGGGCATAATCAGGCTTGGGAACCAGTGTGAAGGAAGCACATCTTTCCCTTTCACTACTGCAGCCTTTTCCACATTACTGAAAGAAATATTCAAGACGACATCTCTGCTAGAGACCCATATTTCCTCTGGAACATGGCATGTGGTCTATAACTCCTCAAGCTGACCTGCTGTTTATCTCTGTATATAGCTTTGAATTGCCTTTGACCTTCCAATCTCCTGGCAATTGAAGCTTGTGTGGCTATTCGCTTGGAGGCTAATTCCTTCTAGTAACAGTCGGACGCTGGAGGATGTGAAAGCCGGCTATCTCACACGGAGCGACATCCGTCCATGCTTTGACTGAGCGACATCAGGATGCTACCATCCTAGGCGGCGGATCTTCGGTCGCAAGGTCGCATTGCGGCGGTTCTTCGGTCGCCTAGTGGGCTTAGTGATTTGGATCTTCAACCCCCCAAACCACTCATGTTGGATGACTCATACAAAAGCTCCCCTATGGAGCATGTAAAACCTTCTAAAGCCTCAAGCCATTGACAAGGGAGTTGACCAACACCCTGGCTTTTTGACCCAACACCCTGAAGGTTCCCATAGACTCTGGACAGAAAGGCTCCGCCCTTTCTGATGCCGAACTTCCTTTACTTCAATGCAGGAGATCATCGAACTGGACTTCGAATGGGAAGCGGCCAACATGTGGGGGTCGAATTGGGAGTTAGGCCAGTTACATCAATGAACTGATGTATTTCTCCTTGCTGCAGCGAACGGCTGCACCATGATCTGGCATCCTGCATCGTGCTGTAGACTGAGAAACACGATACATGAAGAAGGCAGGCAGCCAATGGATTTAGAATGACTCAGATACATGGCAGGCAGCTGGGTGCAGATTGTCTGCACAGGAATGTCCAACCAACCCAGCCCAAGAACCTCTTGTCAACCCGCACTTCTTCTAGAACCCTTCCACCCCCTAAGCTCCCCTAAGCTCTCCAAAATGTGAGCTTTCTGCTGCTGAGCTTCCGATGAGGCGGAGGCCAACAAGTTGATATCATGCACCATGAGAAGGTCGTTGATAGCCTCACTGGACGAACACCAGCGGTGTTCCGCGTGTTTGTCTCAAACCGCTCCCTGCAAGCATCAGTGGAAGTGAAAATGGCCGCGTAAGGAAGACTATTGTCCGAATACCAAACAGGTGGTGAACTCCACTTCCATGATGATTTCAGGGTGTTGATATAATACGAAGAACAATGACTGCTCCAGGAGATGAAAAGCCACTTGGTCTGACTTTGTGGTCGTCTTCCCCTGGCTGGCTAACTCCTTCTTCCCAAGCTCTGGTAAAGAAATCATGGGTCGTGTCAACTTTTAAAACGATCCGAGGGAAGCGGCTCACCGGGTGTTGTAAAGAACCAAATACCACCTTCCCACACATTCCTCTAGCAGCTTCCAAGCCAAACATGCGTGTTTTTTTTAAAATCAGCACGGTCAGCACATATTTCAGGCACCAAACCTCCCTGCAGAGTCCTCCCCAGTCGGTCCCTTCCGCTCCTTCCGCTCGGGGAGCCCTTCTCCGCCCATGCGCGTCGCTCGAGTCGTTTCGGCGAGGCGAAGCGCGGCGCGAGGCGAAAGCGCGCGGCGCGAGGCGAGCTGCGCGACGCGAGCTGCGCGACGCGAGCTGCGCGCGGCTCGAACGGCGCCTTCTTGTGATTGCCTTTCCTCAAATCCGCCAAGGTCATGCTGTTTAGATCCTCAGCGTTTGAAACATCTGGCGCGGCCCGGATTGAGAAACCGCGGCAGAGAGCGGCAGGATGTTCCGGATCGTGTCCAAAGCCATGAAAGGTGGATTGGTACAGTACACGCATATTTGAAGAAAGTTCAGTGGGTGCACCAACGGCATATTCTTCTTTGTGTTCATGTTGTACTTGTCGGTGCTTTACTCTATATATAGATGTTTTGACATGTTTCTTTCATACAATGCTTGCTGACATACATCAGATTCTGCTTCAAGATAGTCTTGTGTCTTCCATTTATCTCTGCCATATGTCTCTGCAAACTTCTTACTGGTCACCTCTGGATTCCACCCACCCTGGTCTTTTTGCTCCTCTATACCGATGTCTGCGATCGTATTGTCTCGTGGCGATACGAATCCACGGCAGAAGTGCCCAAAACACCGGCCAAGGATCCCATCGGCTGAGCGTGCCATCAATGGCACCACTGAAGAGACTCCGTGAGAGGCTGTCCCACTGCAGACAAAGTTGCACGTCCTGAAAAAACAAAAACGAAGAACTAAAGCGAAAAACGAGTCTGCAACAACTGCATCGAGAGAACCCACGTGCCACCGACGAGCCACCAACGGGGGCATGAGTTTTGCGTGCCACTCCATGCGTGGCTGAGTCAGAGACCGGTATACCGTCGACGGGAGAAACCGTGGATGAGATCAAGTGGATTGAGTTCTTGAAGAAGTGGCTGCTTGCTGGATTCGCTGCATATGCTATTTCTGAAGGATAGACCTTTAGGTCAGGTCCAGTGGTGTGTGCGAAATCCAGAAACCCAGTTCGGCTGTCCCCAAGAGTTTGGCTTCAGCCCCCCGCCCACCTTGGCAGCTAAGCGGTTTCGCAGCTGGAGATGCGAATCCCAGAAGCAGATCGTCATGTCCTCCGGGCATCGAGCGGGGCGAAGCGGAAAAGGCGGAGTTCAACGGCATGCGGAAAGAGAAAGAAAGACAGACAGAAAGAAAGAAAGGCATCTTCCTTTCTTCGATCCGCAAACACACAAAAGGGGTGTGCTCGGACGGTGGGTGTATTTGTCCGGGAGACACCGTAGACACCCAACCAATGGATAGACTGGTCGACTTGTCCTTCTTCCAGGGTGTCGTTGCCTGGGAGGTCTCCCTATTTAAATACACAGCCAACACCGTGTTGTTCCCTTCCTCTTGGAACCCCAAAACCGAACATCAAAGCCGGTTCCACGCGTTTTCCATTCGGCTTCGTAAGCCGAGTCTCTGCGGCGGTGGTGGCGATTTGACTCCAAGCATCCACATAGCAGCAATTGATGACCTGAAGCTGAGGAAGACGCACTAGGGCTCCAGGTCTCTTGGCGCCAGGTCAGATTGGGGAGGACTTGTGCGAAAATCGAGGACGAGCGTGGGACTTGGGCTCTCTGTGTTTATCCATGTTTAGCCGACATGGCAGTTGGTTTTTGATGATTTGGGGGCATACTGCATGTTCCATCAAGTAGACTTTGCATCCCTCACATGTGTGGCTTCAGTGCCGTAAGGGGCGCTCCACTGTGGGCTTCCAACTGCCACCGGAGCTCAAGCCTTGAGAAAAACGGGCCGAAAACGAAGATTCCAAACGCCTCGATTCCAAGCATGTCGAACCGGAGCTCGAACGGAGCTGGGTTCCGAGTTCCGCAGCCCGGCTGTGCGTGTGGTTTCTGATGCGAGCGACTGCCGCCGATGCAAGCTGCATGATGCGGGGGTTTCGGGGCCCCCCTCTGTTCAGCTCCCGGAGCTGAAGATAGAGCACCTTCCCAGTGACGGTCACTTCAGGATTGGTAGACATGACCTTACGATCAGAGACCTAGGAGCTGTTTGTGACCTGTTTGGTACTGGGATACAAAACCTGTACCAGGACACTCTGAGGGGTGTCTATTGATAGCCCCTTCGAGGTTAAGGGGTGTCCATTAACCACCCCGACATCCAACCTCGAAGAGCCACAGAAATGAAGATCACATCCTTTCGCCTCATCATGTCCTTCCCCCCCTCGACCTATGAAGATGATTTAAGCACGTTACCCCCCCACCAAGTTCTGCTCCTTCCTTGACTTATGAAGACCTCCCCCTTTCGACCTGCCACCCCCTACCACTACTCACCTTCTCCCCCCAAACTTCCCGCCGCACACCGCAGCTCTGTCCCGTTTCCCACCAAAACCGCCGAGCGCCCGGCGGTGCCACGGTGCCCGTGCACCGTGTCCTTCAGCACGCAGCGCTTCGGGTCGTAGAGCCGGAACTGCCGCGAGCCCCGCGAGAGACACACCTCGTCGCGCCGCGCGCAGGGCGTAGGCACCCCGCGCGGGAGGCGCGCGCGGCGCGCCGCGGAGAGGAGCGCGGGAGGAGCGGCCGGGGTGGGGGTCCCGATGGGTGGACAAGAGCTGGATTGATCACATCGACAGACCACGAGGACGATCTTGGCGGGTCTGTTGGAAACCATCTATGGGACTGGAATAGGTACCTATAATGGATGGGTCATTTTCATGGAGTGTCTGGGTTCCTAGATCCACCTGGATGATCTCTGACTTGTAATGCCCTTGTGCTGCGTACCCACCTAGATGATTGTGTTCTCCCTTGTCCTGTCTGAGTTCCATAAGTGGGCTGGGTAGTCCATAGCGCGCGCCCCGTTCTTGACAGGATGCTCCTGGCCATGACCTGTCAAAGGAGAAATCTCAGATTGACCACAACTCAAAGAGTTCTCAGCTCTCACTGGCCGATTGACATATATACCAGACCCTTCAAAGTGACCGCCCTTGAGATCCCAGTGGCTGAGGTCACTCAGAGCCTCCAAAAGAGGTCACTCAGAGCCTCCAAAGAGGTCACCTTGAAGGCCCTGGTAGATAGGGGCTTGATTGAAAACAGCTCTTCCTGTGGCGGTGATTCCAGTCCCATCGGTCGGGGTGACACCCCAAGCATTTGCGTTTTTCCAGACTGAAGTGGTTCGCCGAGGTGCACAGAAGATCTGGCGCGGGTCGCCTCTGTGGTTTCTATGGGTCTGGCATAAGCAACCTCTCCAAGAGAAAGAGTCGTCCTGTTCGTGGTTTGCCGCGCTTTTCACGGCGTTCTTGCCGGTCTTCTCTTTCAAACACACCACTTCCAGTTGGAATGGTCTGAAACGGCCGATCAAGGACCAGTCCAGAACAGGTGGGTCGGTGTAGGTTTGGGAGCCCCATGTCCAGCAGTTCGATTTGATCCCCACTTCAAATGTATTGAAAAACGGTTCCACGATCTATTTGGGGACCCCACTCTTGTAGGATTTCTCCATGGTTCTCCCCACTCCCTCTACTCACGTGTGGGCCGAGAGGCTAAGGAATCAATCGATTCTAAGTAGACCAACTTCTCCACGGGCGTCTCCTTAGCTCATCTGGGTTGGACCAAAAAGCCTGAAGGTAAATCCCCCCCAAAAAAAGCCTGAAGAAAGCCTGAGAGCACCACAAAAACCCTGAGAGCGCCAAGGTTGACGTGGCCAAAGAGAAGAGATCGGAGTCAGTTGGACCTCTTTAATTCTGAAGGGGTGCCTCGAGTCGGAACGTCCTGCCCTGGAGTCCTCCGGTGGAAGAGGTCGGACTTCGATCGGAGAGAACCAGAATCGAACACGATGCATCGGACGACGAGCGACGAGCCTTAACTTCGTGTCGGGTTTCGGCCTGATCCCCGAGGTTTGGGGGGGGGGGGGGGTAGGCCGTAGAGGTCGCCAGCCAGAGGTAGCTACAGTCGTACCTGGAACCCCAAACAACCAGAAAGAAATGGATGTTTTCCCAAACAACCATTTCCTATGTAAAGGATTTCAATTGCCATATTGGAACAACCATTTGTTTCTAGTTGCTTGGGGTTCCAGGTAGAAGCACAGGTCGACCGTTGCCTGGTTCTGTCCTTTGGACGTCGGACTTCGACCACCTGAAAGGACCAGAACTCGGTCTAGACCTGTAATTACTAGCCGCCCCCCCATAGGAAGAGGTGTTTCAATCCAAAGGTGGGGGGTTGTGAATGAATTCAGTCTACATGATGCCCATTAGATGCAGAAATGGATGGAATACCACCGATCCCCCCATCACATCGATCCATGTGTTGGGCTGAACAGCCCCATCTCCGTTGTTCGCTCGGTACGCCCCGGACATCCGGGAAGGTCGCAGAAGCTCCGAGCCACGTGCTTCGAGACGTCCTTGACTTGACTGACCTCATAGGTCTTGATACTGTCCACCGTGAACTCGTCACCGCCTCAGCGCCCCGGCGCGGTAAGCGTTCACCGGTCGCCGCACCATCGACCGTCGACCGACACCAACGAAGCCGGTCGTTTCGCGGGAGGCCACGGAGAAGCGGAACGAAACGACCAGTTCGCAGGGGTCTCAGGCTCGCCAAGTCGGGGGCAAGTCTGGTCGATTGGAGTCGTTGGAATCGGGGTACCGGGCAGAAGGGAGTTCTCGGATCTGGCCGAGCCGATTCACTGGGCAGAGTCCGAAAGCTGAGTGTCTTCGGCTTTGTGATAGATGGTTTCGCTGGGCAGAACCGCAACCACCAAGACAACTCACTTCCGAGAAGGAGAAAACACCATTCAGAATGATCAAAGCCCTTCTTGAAGAAGCAGGGGTGCAGGGGTACAGAAGCAGGCCGAAACTGCACAGCCCTGCGACCAGTTTCAAGAAACCCTTGTCTTACTCTGGGGATTCTGCAGGATCCCTTCGACTGCTCCATCCCTTTCAAGAAAGCAAATCCCTAGACTTCGGTAGTGTAAAATCCTTAGTTGATTCGGGATGACCCGCCTATTAATGGTTGGTTGGAAGCCTTGGGAAATCAAGAAAGAAGACGAAAACCTTTGACCAGGCGCGTCCGGGATGGCACGTCCGGGAGACGCGCGGACCTCGCCTGACATGCCCTGCTCGATGAAGTAGTTGGAGACATCCTCCCATGTGACGGAACTCTCACCATGCACATCCATGTGGGAGAAGAGGTCCTGCACGGCTGACCACAGGACCAAGGACAGGAGGCCAACGAGTGCATGTCACATGTCTGGTCATGAAGCAAAGGCCCTGATCTCTAAAGCCCTGCCACCACCCAGCCCTACAATAGCAGGACTATGGAGAAGAGTTTTCAAAATCGATCGAGTCTTTCAGAGACGGGATAAATCAATACTGGATGTGAGTGCCCAGGTCTTTTGCTGCGCTTTGAGCAACATCTGTTCCATGTGATGGGACGCTGCGATGTATGTTCTGATAGGGTCCATGAGGACGTCTCCCCACCATGGAATCAATACATCCAGATATGCCAGAAATTGAGAGTACACTCCGAGGAAAAGCTTCGATAGAAGCTTGAACGACTCGATCCCCAGCAGTTCCGAGGATAGAGGCGCCCCTGGCAGATCCAATGGATGGGACGAGGGTAGAAACCGGTGTCCCAACTCAGAACTCCTGTCCCCCACAAACCTCCTCAGTCCCAAGCAGGAACAGTTCTGGATGTTTCCCCAGTCCGCACCACATTGTCATTCATCTCCGCGAGGCCATCGAATGGAAGAAGCAGAAGGGTTTCTGCTTGGGGACTGGCGAAACCCAGGAGTTCCCTCCCCCCGCTCCATGACCGCAGCAGCTTTCACCGCGGCATTGCGCGCTGGATCCCCCTCCTGCCAGGGCGTTGGACACGATGACACGTGCGTCATGCGACGCACGTGGGGTTGGCAAAACGATGATGGTTGTTTAGATACACCATGATATAGCTGGGACATCTCAAAAAGCAGGCGTTTCCATTGCCGAACATCCGCCTGTCTTATCGTTCTTCCCGCTGGCAGCCCTCCCTAAAATCTCTCACCCCCCCTTTCCCACGTGCTGTTAGCAAGCAAGTCCCAGAATTCCAGACGAATGCGCTAAACTGGGGAAGCCCCTCTCCTTGTCCTGACGCGCCGATTTGCCGGGCCGGTCCAGGTCCAAGTTCCTGGCGACTTCTTCTCCCGCGGCGGCGTTCGTGTGGCGCCCCGGTCGAAAACGGCGCACGCCGGCTGTTGGGTGGACGGATCACATGTGATGGTGAAGACCACAACACGAGGTCCATGTCACCCTCACCATCCCACCGCAGTAAGAGTGGAGTCCATGGAAGGGGGAGAGACCACGGATGCGAACCATCGAATCGTGGATCACGACCTACCTTGGAGACCCTCCAAGTCCACGTCTTGGCCAAGTTGAACCTGGTCTGACTGACCTCATTGAGTACTGGTGTTGCATGTTCCCGGATCCAGTCAAATGAGGTCCGTAAGACCTGTAGTAGGGATAAAAAAGGGTCTCGACCTGAGGGAAAAGAGGTGCCATGGGCGTTGCTGCCCCCATTTTGGTCGACCGTCCTCCCCGAAACGTCCAGGCGAACTTCCTCCCCTCTCGTTCCCCCCGCCGTCGCTCCTCCCGGACACCGAGGCACAGGCGCCGCACCCGCCCATCCATCAGCATCGACCCCGTCCCACGGCCTCAACATGGCGCGGACGAAGTCCTCGCCGTTCAGCGCGCCGCCGTTCTCCACGAATTCGGCCTCGAGGAACACGAGTCGAGTTGGGGACCAGTCAACTTCTCAGGTGAAGGTCTTCCATTGCGAGTCGAGTTGGCTCGTGTTTCTGATGTTTCTTGGATTGGTGCGACTCCGGGCCCCTCACCCAGAAGGCCAATTTCCTCTCAGGCCAATTGCCTTTCTCGTCATCGTTTCATCGACACGTGGTTTCACGTACGACGGACAGACCAATTCTGGGACGTACATGTCCGCAGGTGATGCAAGACACACGGTGCTGCTGAAATCACCACCCAGCACGGCGCGCACACAGCGCGGCGCATATGCGGCCCGGTGCGTTCGGTGCTGCTTCGGCCTTGACATTCTCCAAGACATCCGCAGAGAGGTCGGTCAGTACCTGGCTGAGGCCAACCACATACGGGAGACCTGCCTATCGGTGCTGGTATAGAAAGGATGGCTCGAAAGACTCACAAACCTAGCAGAACCGAGGGGTGTCTATTTCCGGTGGACAAACAGACCATGACAGACCTCAGAAAAGCAACAAAATTGTTTCTCCAAGTCCTGTCGACAAAGGCACCCCATTTCCACAACCCCTTTTTGATATGTCCTCCATCACCCCCTCTCCGCGAAGCGACCAAACGACCTTCGCGAAGGGGTCCGAACCTCCGCGAGGTCGCGAAGAAGACGTCCCCCGCCTGAGCTTCTGGGAGATGTCCACCGCCCTTCTTCTCCGCCTCGCCGCGGTCCCGCGGCCGCGGTTTAGGCAGGTCGCGAAAGCGCGAACGCAACGCGCACCCACCACCACGCGCACCTGTGGCCAGGCACACAGTAGACCGGGGGAAGAGGAGAAAAAGGGCTGACTTGAAAGAGATGCCAGAGATGCCACATCGTCGGTAGGGTTCTTTCGGTGCATCACTCAATGTCTTTGCTGCTCACAAAAGCTTTAAAAAAGAAACCTAGGAGTCCCAGGCGGTTTCTTTCTGGTTGACACTGTTGGGGCCATGATTCAGGTTCTTGACACTGTTTTTAGGCCATGATCAGCGTCGACTTCGGAGCACCCTCTGGGCATCACCCGTATCTCGGTCGACGGTCGACGTTGACCTCCCCACCTTTCGGGCAACCCATCGACGTCGATGCTGGTTGTCACATTGACATAGCACCGACGTCGGGGGGGTGGTCCCCCACTCACAATTCACCATCCAACAACTGGTCACTGAGTTTGAGCATCCTACTTCGTCATGCCACAACCCTCCGACCCCTCCTTCATGCATGGTAATTCCGGGGAAATGCAAAAATGATTTGGGGATTGCATGATTCATGGCCCCTCTCCAGTACCAGAACACTTCGATCTAAACACTGCGATCCAAAAGGAGGCTTGGCCATCTACCCAGCACCAGCTCTATGCCCACACTTAATTACAGGCACTTAAGTTAAGATCCCTATGGTCAAAAATGAACACTAACTTGAGGGCAGCCTCATCCCCTGCACCCCCATCTCCCAGCCTCCAAGGCCAAGGACTCGTTGACCAACTTCTGCGCGCTGATCGCGACCGGCCTCGTTCACCGGCCACCATCCCGAGGAAACTTGGAAGCGGCGGCGACCCGTTTCCCACGCCATCAAGGTCACCGGGTGTGTGTCCGAATGCGCTTCGTGTGTTCGGTCCATGGGGAAGTGGAAGTGGAACCGGGGTGTGACGACCACCCACTCCGACGCTATTCGATCCATAGGCCCATCCGCCCGGTCGATCGTCTAGTTCGACCGCCACATCAGGTGGCCGCGTGGTGGTCGAAGTGGTGAACATCAGGTGGTGCCATGATGCTGAACGAAAGGCCGTCTGCTTCTGCTGGCTTCAAAGGCCCGATTTGGGAGCGAACGAATCCTCATCAACCAACATCCTCAACCAATTGATGGCCTTTGGGAGACTGCTACAACTGAATCTCCAAGGTACCAGGGAGTGGATCGACCTCAAACCAGAAAGGGTTTCACCCACGTGTTGAAAGACCGCACGGCCCTGCTTCTCCGATCCCACCCCAAAAGCTGCACGCCCCAAGAACGCTTCAGACCCTGGTTGGCAGGGGGTGAGAACGCAGCTGGTGTGAGACTCCAAATACAGGGAGTTCAGGTCCTGAGTAAGAACCAAAAGGAAACACTACATAAACACGGTTTTCTCGATATATTCCAGCACCATGAAAAGGGCAGCTTATATTCCCTCCAACAACACCCCGAAATCCCTGGTGGCTAGTTCACGGCTTGTTGTTTTATCAATGATGTTATGATGTTCAATGATCTTTTCCATGTCAACCTTCATTTCTACTAGGAGCAAGGATGCTATTGGGTGGAGGCCATCGCTAGTAGGGTGGAGGCTATCGCTACTCGGAACAACTACGCTACGAACGTAGCGTTCGGACGCTGTTAGGTGGAGGCCAGAACAAGTAGGTTGGAGGCCAACGCTACTAGGGTTCAAAGGAATGACACGGCGCGATCAGATCCAAAGGCACAGTCTAAACCCTAGGGATCCAATCGGACCTTCTCAGGTTCGGTACGACTGGACACTCCAGACATCTACAGGATCCACCAGGATTCTCCCGCCCACAGGATCCACCAGGCGTCCCAGCCGATCCTCCCGAGCCTCGCGGTGAGGAGCGCCGAGCGAAAAACGCGCCCGCGCAAGGCAGGCCACCGGACGGGAACGGGTGGGTGGATTGGACCTCGTTGATGGGATGGCCTCCACCCTCCTAGTGATGGCCTCCACCCTACTAGCGATGGCCTCCACCCTCCTAGTGATGGCCTCCACATGCCTCCACCCTCCTAGTGATGGCCTCCACCCTCCTAGCGATGGCCTCCACCCTACTAGCGATGCCCTCCACCAGGGATGGCCTCCAACCTAGTTCCAACCTACTAGTGATGCCCTCCACCCTCCTAGTGATGGCCTCCACCCTACTAGCGATGGCCACCAACCTACTAGCGATGGCCTCCACCCTCCTGGTGATGGCCTCCAACCTACTAGCGATGCCCTCCACCCTCCTAGTGATGGCCTCCAACCTACTAGCGATGGCCCCCACTAGGGATGGCCTCCAACCTAGTTCCAACCTACTAGTGATGCCCTCCACCATCCTAGTGATGGCCTCCACCCTACTAGCGATGGCCTCCAACCTACTAGCGATGGCCTCCAACCTACTAGCGATGCCCTCCACCCTCCTAGTGATGGCCTCCACCCTACTAGCGATGGCCTCCACCCTACTAGCGATGGCCTCCAACCTACTAGCGATGGCCTCCACTAGCGATGGCCTCCAACCTACTAGCGATGCCCTCCACCCTCCTAGTGATGGCCTCCACCCTACTAGCGATGGCCTCCGACCTAGTTCCAACCTGCTAGCGATGGCCTGCAACTTTGTTCCAACCTGTTAGGAATGGCCTCCAACCTAGTTCCAGGCCTTCAACCTAGTTCCAACCTACTAGCGATGGCCTCCAACCTAGTTCCAACCTACTAGGGATGGCCGGCAACTTAGTTCCAACCTACTAGCGATGGCCTGCAACCTAGTTCCAACCTACTAGCGATGGCCTGCAAGCTAGTTCCAACCTAGTTCCAACCTATTAGCGATGGCCTCCAACCTGCAACCTAGTTCAAACCTACTAGCGATGGCCTGCAACCTTTATGTGGGGTGGGTGCCTAATTCCCTCACAGCTCGACACCCTAGTTCCGTGGAGGTTCCCGAGCCGGGGGGGTTCACTATACTAAATTCCCACCCATGTGTTGTTTCGTGGTTGTTTTCGCGAGGAGGCCCTGATTACGCTGAGTGGGGGTTCATATGGATTTCTCATTCTTCACGTCCCAAAGGCAGAGATGGAAGATTAGGGGTGCCCAGAACATCCACTGACTTAGACACTAAAAACCACCCCACTCCACGTCACCCAAGACCATCGGGCCCACCACCCACGACCACTTCATCCGCTTGGTCGGCTCAAGCACGCATCCTTCCAAACATCCACAGCTCAAGGCATCGCTGGACTGAGATTGAGCAATCAAAAGACCTGCCAAGACCGCCATGCCAGTGTCCAACAGGAAACCCCAACAAGACAAACACTCATACCCCAAAGCCCTATGTTTTGACAGACACCATGACCGACGTGGCCCACACCAACCACCTGGGCGAACCATCTCCTCACCCTCACCCCGCCCACCTGGGCGACCCGAACTCGAACTCGCTCCGGTCTCGCGGTCTCTCTCTCCAACCGTCGGTTCGGTTCTCTCCAACCGTCCCCGTCCCACCGCCTGCTCTTGTAGGGTCGGCAGGTAGGAATGCTTCGAGGGCGACAAGGAGCCCCGGTGTGCGGTCGAGGGAATTCTCAGGGACCGGAGCTCGGTGTCCTCGCACGCACGACGCGCACGGGGACCGCTGCGACCAAACCGGGAGACCCGGCACGTGCCGGGCTCCGAAAAGGAGACACTCCAAATCGCTCAGGCTGGGGGCTGCAGGGGGGGCTGTATGGTCCACTTCACCAGATGGGCCGTTTTTTCAGAGCAATGACCGAAGAAAAGAGAACAGTTCCTGATTATCCTGATCCACATGTCTCTTTCCAGACGCAACAGCCCCCTGCCACCCTGTGTTTCTCTTGCCCCATCACCTATTCCACATGACGCTGCCCCCCAATAAAAACAAAACCACACCACTGTCGAGTGACCATCTTTCACTGGATGCCAACTGATCTTCAGATCTCCATCCGAAGAATCCGTGGAAAAAAGAAAGAAGAACGGGGCAAATCGGGGCCCTTCCACGGAACCTTCCGACCTCCCCCCGTGCTCCACCACGCTTGCCGCACCGCGGACGGGCGTGTTCCACGCTCCTCCAAGGCCAGGGCCTTCTTCCGCCCGGGCCGCAGCTCCGTGGACGCCATGCCCTGCCGAGCCGATCGTCTCGCGGCACGCGGCGGAGAGGAGGAGATGGCGGCGGAGCAGAGGTGAGGAGTCCTTCCTCCTCCTCAGAGGGAGCGACATGCAATGACTCTTAGATGGAACAAAACGAACAGTCACATGCACTGACTCTTGTGATTTCATATGCTGGGTTGAAGTATCATCAAGAGTCATCAAGAGTCTACCTGCTACCTTCTACCTCCCTTTGTTCCATTGGACCTCGTCAGGGTCAGTCTTCAGGACCCCCCCAAGGACCGAAGAAAGCTCTGCGAAAACCCCGCAGGAACACCCAGGACCTCCATGGGGGGGGGCGAGGCGGAGCTTCCGGAGTTTCCGGTTCTGGAGGAATGTCCGGTTGGACTCAAAAGCAGACCGTCTACTGAAAGAAAACTACTACTTGTACCTGGATCTTCCAACTGTGCAACATGTCTGCCTCTTAATCTAAAGCACCAGCCAAGGTTGGCATCCAAATTGCATAGTTGGAAGATTCAGGTACGGGGAGTTGTTGGATCTAGCAACTGCTGAGGATGAAGGCTGATCTGCAAGTGGCTGATCTACACCAGCATGCAGAGCACACATGGCTCCGTTTCAAGCGTTTCTACCAAAAGTGTTCGCTTTGTTTCGGTCCTCCGTTTCACCTACTGGCGATGCTGTCCTGCCTTTTCGGAGCTGTCCTGACCACCCACAACCGAAGACCCACCCACAACATTCACTTCGAGGCGCGTGAAACACCTTTCACCTTTCGAGCACGGCCTCCACAACTGGCCACCCCCCCTCCCACCCCTCCCACCCCTCCCACCCTCTCCACACGGCCTAGGTCGATGCCATGGGGCCGTGAGGGTACCGTGAGGGTACCGTGAGGGTACCGTGAGGGTACCGTGAGGGCCGGTGCACCACCGGCAGCAGCTCCGCTGCCAGACCGACCACCGAAGGGGCTTCGTGTTTGAGGCCGTTTGGATCGTTGGGTCACAACGGGGGAGGTGTCCGAGCAGCATTGCGGACGCACATGAGCTACGCGGTGACATGTGAAAGGAAGCCTTAGGTGGAATCGGAAAGAATCCATGAGACGAAGCCATGAGACTATGCTCGTGACTGAGATCCATGCTGCCACTTCACCGACTTCCTTGAGATCCGGCGGAAAGGAGGCCTGTCATCGACGTCCTGCCCTGGTGAAGTTACTGAAAAAGGTGCATCAAAGAAGAAGGTGGATGGCACCCCTATTCGGAAGCAAACGAAATGGTCTTCCAAAACCTGATGTTCCACTTCCATTGTTGGTGAGTCAGAGCATATATACCAGAGTCTACCGAGGCCAGTACTCTTTCGGATTGTTGTCTTTCTCTCTCACTGAAGAAACAAAGAACACTTCAATTATCTCCGGATCCACCTTGACGGCAAAGAAACATCACGCTGAGTCCGAGACTTCCCCTGTCCACGGTCGGACGCACCGAGTCAACAGCTTTTGAACAGCGGCCGCGGGCCACACGTGCGGGGCGCGCGGGGCGCTTAAAGCGCTCCGTCGTCTGAATTCAACTTCCTGTTTGGTCTTGTGGAGTTGCACTCGCCAAGCTTAAAGCTCAGTTGTTGCATGTGTCAGGAGCGAACACTTGTGTGTTTGAAGCCCTGAAAACAAGGTCAGGAAAACATTCTTGGCCAAAAAGAAGGTGTCGACACATGATTATCTACAAGTGTGAGTGGTGAACTATGCGAGAACTCCATTCCAAGACATCTCAATTTGCTTTGCAATCTTGAAAATGTGTCTACCTGCGAATGATCCCACACGCAGATCATCTACGACCTACACGAACCAGCCCGCCGGGATGGGACGCTGGAGAAGCCAAGCAAACCTCTTTGACGCGCCTCCGGCCAGTCCTTTTGTTGTGTACCATTGTTAAACAATGGCCACAAGCGTGAGGATTGGTCCAAATGTCTTTTTGGACACCATGGGATATCTAGACACCATGGCCCTCATATGGCAGGAGGGCAACAAGGATGACAAGAGAAATTCACTCTTGATGTCTCAGTTTGCTGAATTCGAGTTTGGATCATGAAAGAGAATCCTGCCATTTCTTCCATTCCTGCCATGTGGAGAAGAGCATTCAGAAGGAGACAGATGTCGTCTCCTCATCGGGATCTGGCCTGAAACGAGTGTAGCTGGGCGGTCCAGCCAATCCGATCACGTGAACGACCTCTTCTGCAGCCGGTCAGCTGCACGGTAAGCCGAGTCCATACTTAGACGGCCCACCATGCTTCGACGGGACACCGCGGCGCGTCTGCGCGGGACGTGTCGCGGCGTTTGGGGTGTGGTCTCCGTGTCTCGGCGAGTCGGTTCGGGTCGGTCGCTACAAAGAGCCGTGCTTCGACGAGAAAAAGTGTCAAAGAGATCTTCCTTGGCCCGCGGTCCTTTTTGGCTATCCTGCGTCCGAAGAGCTAGCAGCAGGTGACCTAGTAGTTGATCTATAAACAGCCCTTGCTTTATTAAGTAGGTGCCTACGTACTTAAGTCAGAGTGAGTGCAAAAGAGAAAAAGAGTATATAAGAGGATAGGGTGAAAACGACACCCCGGCTCGGCTTCGCCCTCTGTTCGCTCGTCCTGCCTGCTAGGCCGAGCCTCTTCACTGCCAAACATTCCAGAGGAGAAGGAGCCAGCGGAGGAGGAGGCATGCAGGCCATTGGACTCCGCTTCGCGCTTGTTGGGCATCAGAAAGCTGGCCAGTCTCTGCAAGACAGAGCCCTGCCTTTTGAATTGTGCCTTGAGAAGGTCTCCTGGTCGATTGGAGTGGTTGGAGAGAAAAAGAAAACGATCTCATCCCAAACCCGCCCTGACGATTTCCGTGAACCGAGACGGGTTTTCTGGGGACAGGATGAACTAGAAAGCCAACACAAATGATCCTATCCGTCCAGTTTCGGCCTGAGCCCTGACTATTGTCAATCCACACCTACACCTCCACACGTCTACACCTCCACACCCTCGGACTGAAGCACACCCGCCTGCGTTGTCCAGCGCACTGTTTTGCCGAACGATGCGGGGCCGCAGCCTGGATTGGATCCGGTGGCACAGGCGCGCCGCTTGCAGCTCCAAGTCCAACCCAGCCGCCAGGGTTGGAGTGAAAGTCCCTGCGGCCTGGAAGGGGCTTCCCCGACCCCAGGCTATCCGATCCGCGGCGATCCGGGTTCACACACAGCCGATCCATGTGGGGCTCAACCCAGGAAATTCCCAGACACTCCATGGATGGAAGAATTCAACAGCTAAACGTTGCTGACCCCCAAACGGGGTCATCCACGATTGAATTCTGTCCGTAGCTCGAAAGCATGGATGGTCTGCGTCTCTCAACCGAAACCGAGCGCTCTTTCTCTTGTGGGCCACATCGCGTGCCCCCCAATCACCGTCCATGCCGATGTGAAGAATCACGAGGTTCTCCGTGAGCCCGGTGGAACGTACCACCACCGGCCTCAAGGAAGACGGTTTCGATAAAGGTCTCATAAAATTCCGGATCAGTGAGCTCTTGCTGGTCGAGGAGGCGACCTCGAGCGGTTCGCTGAACCCGTGCCATCCGGGCGGAGTCAGTGGTGCCATCATTCACGGTGCCCCCAAGGACCACTGATCTGCTTTTGGGAGTCAAAGACTTTAAAAGGAATGGGTTGACTAGGAGACCTCTAGGAGACCTGATTTCGAGGCATTTCCTCTACTTCACCAAGAAGAAGCATCGTCGCACTGGACTGATTTTAGGTGTCCTCGACCTTGTGCGGTCTGGAAGGCCTGTCGCTTCAAACCGAGCTACCCATCAGCTCCCCACGCAGCTCACGTGTTTCAGGGCAGGACTAGTCCTGAAAAGGAACAACCAAAATCACAGCAGCACCACCCAAGGTCGGGTGCGGTTGGTTAGATCCCCAGCCCAAGTGTTTTCCATCCAATCATTCGCCCGTTCCAGGGAGGTGCTGGAAACTGATTGACACCTTTTGATGGCCTTCTTGGCCTTTCTTGCATTGTCTGAGTTCCCGATGCAGTCCTCCCGATGCAGAACCTTGTGACTGTTCAGTTTGGCTCTACAGAGGTGTTGCCCATCATCACTTTCGTTTCCCCCCTTCCCACCCAAAAAGAAGACCTCCCCACACTCCCGCCACGTAACATGTGTCCCTCCATCTGCCCCCCCTGTGTTCATCTCTGTACCCAAGTCACTGAAGACCTCCGCGTTCGGGAACTGGAAGTGGTCTCCGATGAGGACCGGCAACAAGAAGCACTCCGGCATCTCACAGGCCTTGCAGAGCCACTGGACGATCTGCTCAGAGGCCCAGCAAGTCTCTGAGCAGAGAAAGAGCATGGAGGCCACGCCCTCAGCGAGTTCGAACAGAGCTGCAGGGCATGTGTCGGAACTCATGTCAGTCACACGCAGGCTGGTTCCAAGGAAGGAGAAAGCAGCACAAAGCTAGTTGAGAAGTGTGAAATCTTGCATCTTGCAAGTCATGTTAATTAAATATACTGAATAAGTGTATAAAAATAAAGTAGACTACCTTCGTGCTATGATAGTATACCAGCTTCTTTAAAGTTACCTTTTTGGAGCCCCTGTTTGTGACCTTTTACAGGGTACAGGAGAAAAGAACCGCACTTTTGAAGAAACAGGATACTGTAACTGTACACTTAAAGTTTCTATATTGATGCAAGAAGCAACCGCAGAATGGGGGTCGTTCTGATTGGTCCCTTCCTTTTCAAAGCACCCCAGACGCCCACGCTGGCTTCCGAGGAGCTCTGCTGGGAGATTGCCCTGGCCGCAGCACCGTGCAAGATCCCAGTCCAAATGCATTGAGATGGGGCTCCAACAAGCCCAACAGCACATAGGCCGTGGCAGTGGCTCCAAGATTCTCCTAACTCGACTCGCCGCGAGCCGAGCCACTCTGTTCTGGTGCGGAGGATTGAATCTGAGATCCAGGCATGGAATGCGAAGTATGCAAAAGTATCCAGATCTTGCAAAAAACAATTAGAATGCTCC